GATGGGTTTCCCGAGGGTTTATCGGACGCACGGCTGGCAGGCTATTTCGTAAACCGATTACTGCGCAGTTCCGCCTGATGTTCAACCTTGGTCTGGGTGAGAATCACCATGTTCTTCGGAGGACGATATCCCTGGTCCCAGGCCGGCTCGACCATATCGAGTTGTCGTCGATTAGCCATAACTGCCTCGATGCTTTCCGGGGGCAAACGATCGCGACATAGAGCGACCACTGCAGGCCGCATCTGATCGATCGCCGACACGAGTGTCACGGGGTCGGTTCCTGCCACCACCAGTCGAGCATCGCCGTATTGGTAATAACTCACGAGATAAGTCATGTCGTCGGTGCACAGCACCACCGCGCGAGAACCATAGCGATTCTTGATCCATTGCCCGAGCCCCGCCCGCGCCTGACGGCTATCATCATGATGTCGCAGAGCTTCGCCACAACCAGCTCCAATCATCACCATCACCAACACCAGCGGGGCGAACTGCACCACGGGCCGTGGCCAGTGAAGTCGACGAGCGAAGATCGCGGTCCACTGCGCCGCGAACAGCAGCCCCAGTGCCGCACATCGTGTCGAGATGAGCACAATCGAAAGGGCATACCGGCTACTTCCCTGATGAGCGAACCACAGATGCACCCAAACGCCAATCGCCACAGAGATGGCGAACAGGCCCAACGGAATGTGGTCGCGACGGTCCCAGGTACTCCGGAATGCAACATAGCCAACGATGAACATCAAACCGAAGAGGGGAGTTAGTCCCCGCAGCATCGTATTGAAGAACAGCATTGTCAGGCTGTCGATTTGAATGCGAGGCACCGCCAACGGGGGCACATCAGGCACCACATCGCCCGTGGTGCCGGTTAACGACGTAAAGAGGTGCCCAACCCGATCGAGCGGCTCGGAGCGGAACCACTCGAACCGTGGATGATCTTGCAAGAGCCACACGTTCACGATCATCAATAGCAACAACGGGAAAGCAGTACTGCAAGCCAGCGCACCCACGGCCAGCCGACCGCGCTTCTCTTCCAGTGCCATCCAGCGAACCACCGTCCACATCACCCAAGGGAAGAGCAGGAACAGCCCTTCGAATCGGGTGAGCGTGGCCAACGTGGTAGCGATTCCCGCCAGGAAGAACCAGCGGAGCCGCACTTCAACCATCGCTCGCCACATCCAATCGAGCGACAGGGCCAGCAACAGCCAGAACGTGGGGTCGCGAATCAGTTCGCTACTCCACTCGATGAACTTGGGATGCATCGCGTAGATCAGGCAGGCGGTCACCGCCACTGTGTCGTCGAACTGTCGGCGAACCCAATTGAACAGTGGCCAAATGACCAGGGTTGCTGCGAACACGCCCCACCACTTGCCGGTGAACTCCCAGTCTAGCCCAAGTTGATGCCCCGCGGCCAAGATCACCGGGTAGGTATTCAGGTGCATCTCATGCAGTGCGACCCCCAGGTCGCCGCGTTCGAGTGCTTGCGCGAGTTGGATGTAGAACGTTCCGTCGGGGCAGATCGTTTCGGTGCGTACCGCCATCCACAACCGGGGCAGAAAGGCGGTAAGCAGCAGAACTCCGACCAACATCAAGCGACGCCGCGGCACCGTTCGATTCGGTGTCGGGTCGAGAAGTCGGTTCGGATAAGACTCCGGCAATAGATAGCCGGATCGGGTCGGGTAGGTCATACCACGAGTACGTAAAGTATGTGCTTGTGTCGAGGATGATCGTCGTCACCAGGAGGATGACGATGAGACGAACCGCGACCCTTAAGGGATAAACAGGGAAAAGCATCGACGCAGGTGGCCCCGCGACACCACTCATTTAGCGGATTGCCCCCACAACGACCATACCAGTCGTGCTATCAACCTGAAGTTCTTGGTAACCAGTCGGTTCAGCCTTGAGGCGACTCCACTTGCAGTGCTATCCCCGCTAGCGAAAGTGCAGGCTCGGCTCGCCCCATTTGTTTTCAGCACACTGACCTTTGCCTGAAGCGCGGGGATCCGCACAATGCGGCCCCAATTCTCTCATCAGGAGTGCCCAGCGTGCCGAGACCGACGAAGCGAATGGCCGACGCATTGAGCCAGCGCGGCAGTTCGCCTCACAACCGTTCACAATCAACAGCCACGGCGACGATCTGCGCGCCGGGAAACGCTGGGACCAAGAAGTCAGCAGCATCCCTGACCGTGGCCGTTGTGGTGGTGAACTACAACGCAGGTGAACATCTGGCCCGCTGTCTCGGTTCACTAGCCGAGCAATCGAAGCAAGCCCACCGTATCGTACTAGTCGACAACGCAAGCACCGACGACTCTTTGCGAGACATCGAACAATGCTTCCCCCAAGTCGACCTCATTCGCATGCAAACCAATGTTGGTTTCGCTGCGGCCAACAACATCGCCATCCGGCAAGTTGGCAACGTCGATTGTGTGGCATTGCTGAATGCCGATGCGTTCGCCGAGCCCGATTGGTTGGAAACGCTTCTGAGGACTGCGGCCGAGCGCCCCGAGTTCGCCATGTTGGCCTGCCCCATGGTGCGTAGCGACGACCCGAAAATTAGCGATGGTGAAGGCGACTGCTATCACGGCAGCGGATTCGCCTGGCGCGATCGCTGCGGCTTGCCCGTGGCAGATGCTCCACCAGCCGAACGGGAAGTATTCGGGCCTTGCGCTGCCGCGGCTTGTTATCGCCGCGAGGCACTCTTGGCCTGCGGTGGCTTCGACGAGAACTTTTTCTGTTACCTGGAAGACGTCGACCTGGCGTTTCGACTTCGATTGCAAGGACACCGCTGCCTGCTCGTACCGGGGGCAGTCGTGCGGCACGTCGGTTCCGCGATCGCTGGACGACGCAGTCAATTCACCGTTTACCACGCCCAACGCAATCTGGAATGGACGTGGTTCAAGAACATGCCGACTCCGCTGTTAGTGTGGTACATGCCGCAGCACCTTCTGTTAGCGGTGGTAACGGTGGCTTGGTTCACCTTGCGCGGAAAGGGGTGGACCATCTTGAAGAGTAAGTGGCACGCCTTCAAAGCGCTACCGGAAATTTGGCGCAAGCGGAAACTCATCCAGGCAACTCGCAGCGTAACGAGCACCGACCTGAACCGGATCATGGCTCGAGGCTTTCTAGCGCCCTATCTCCGCAGCCGCAAGTAACAAAAAATGCTCCCATCGTCATCCACTGAAGTATCCGCCAAGCCGCAAGACGAGTTTGATCTCGACATCGGCGTGATCTACACGCACGAACGAAACTACATTGCCCCACTGCTGGAATCCCTCTCCCGTTCGGGCGATGGGCTAATAATGCGGTTGATTTTGGTCGACAACAACTCGCAAGAAGGTGTTGGAGAGTGGGCGGAAGTGTTCGAGCATACAACCGTGGTCCGCAACGACCGCCGCTTAGGCTATGCGAGCAATCTGAATCGAATTCTGAAGTCTTCAACCGCCCGTTACGTTTTGTTGCTCAATACCGATATGGTCTTCGAGCCTGAAGAACAGTGCATGGCAAAGATGGTTTCTGCCCTGGATCGTGACCCGCAGTGCGGGTTAGCCGGCTGCCGGCTGTATCACCCCGATGGCACGTACGGATTTCCGGCCCGCAGATTCCCGCGGTTGACCACCATCCTTGCCCGCAGGTTCTCAAGAGTGTTTTGCGCACCGCAAACCCTACGCGATTACTTCTACGAAGAGCACAACCGGGAAGAAACGTTCGCTTGCGATTGGCTTTCCGGTTGCTTCCTCATGCTTCGCCGCGCTTGCCACAAGCAAGTGGGTAGTTTCGACGAAGGGTTTCGGAAGTATTTCGAAGACGTTGACTATTGCGGCCGCGTGGCTCGGGCCAACTGGAACGTGAAGTTCCACGGTCATACCTATTGCTACCACTGGGAACAGCGCGACAGCGCCCAGTTGTTCTCACGTGATAGCTGGCTTCACATCGCGTCTTACGTTCGGTGGTTGACGAAACGAGCGCTAGGGTACTACGCCGGAGCCGCTGACAAGCCGCAAGAAGTTAAGCAAGGTGTTCTCAACCCAGCACCCGCCGGCGAACCACGCACGGCTCCGGTTTCCGGGCCGCATCGTCCGCAGAGAGACGCGAAGAAGTCTTCCTCACCACAGCATGGCTAAGCGGAAATCTAGCCCGCCTCTGCTGACTCGGAATCCTGCTCCTCAGGTGTTGAATCTAAAGACACCGAGGGACTTGCCACGCGGATATCCGAAATTCTCCACTGCCCCCGACCGACGAAGGAGTTGTAATGGCGTTCGAGCAATAGGTATAGAAAGAAGCTCTTCCTCACCCCGTTTTCTTCGAAGGTGACCGCGAATTCCTCAAGCACTTCGTCTCTCAGGGGATAAACGCTCACGCCGAAGCTGTGATAGAGCCGAACGTTGGCCCGATCGCCCAACGCTAACAGGGTTCTTACAACGTCCGAGTCCGTGTACGTTCTCAGTTTGTCGGCCGCTTCTGGATGCTCACGATAGTAACGGTTCAAATCATCTGTGATAGGGCGCCGATGAGCAATTGGCACTGCCATCTGATGGGCATACTCGATGTCACCATTTCGAATGTGCTCGAACCACTGCATGGCGAACTGCTGGGCCTCTCGCTGAACCAGGTAGCGATAGGTGTAGTAACGAGTCGAAGCACCGACTCCGCATATCAGCCCCAGACACAGGCCAATCGCCGCGGCCTTACGGCCAGAAAGGGCCAACTCAGGGCGAGCGATGCGAACTAGCGCGATGATGCCCAGAACCACCGCCGCTGCTGGGATTGTCCATGCATAGGGTCCCAGCCAAGCCAGTGGAGAGGCCAATCCAACAAACAAGGATGCAACAGCGAACTTGCTGATAGGACGATATTCCGCCAGTTCCTCGGCGTTATGATCTCCTGCCCAGCGTTGCGTTTCCGCCTGCGACATCCGATGTACTTCAGTTGAGAGGAGTGAGCAAAGTTAGATTGAACACTTCAATCTGCCGTTGAACAAACACTTCGCGACAATCGCGGGCGTTTTATCGATCACTGGGAAGGGTAAAGCTTTTCTTTATCGGTGGCATCAGCGCGGGGGATTCCTCGTATTCCTTCCGGCGCGCGGCATACTTGATCATGAATTCCGAACCCGGGTCGAACCCATAGAATTCCTCACCGGGATTGATCGGCCGATAGGCTCCGTTAGAAAGCCGTTGTACAAATCCCAGCCAATGGCGATCGGGGGCCAATCCGAAGAACATTTGTTCTTCCGGCTCAAATCCTCCCCCCAAAAAATTGCGAGCTAAGGGAGCAGTGTGTAACGACATCATCAGGAAAGCCACTAGCACCCAACTCGAGGCTAGCGAAAACCCCAGCCCGCCAATTGCGTCGACTGCCTTTGCAAACTTCATCTTGTACTTCGAGGCAGCATCGGTCAGCGCCCGCAAGATAAACATCGATACGCAAAAGATCCCCCACAAGGCGGTGAAATCCCACAAGTACCGGCCCGAGGGAATCTGCTCGGCGAGCCAGGAACTCAACGGTTCCCAGTAGTTTGTCGCTAACAGTGCTGAGATCACCAAGTTAAAAAACGTGATGGCATTGCCCCACAGCCCCTCATTCAACGACGAGGCCACTACGGCAATCACGACGATCAGCATCAATACCGAGAATAAAAAGCCCACGAGTGGAGGCTCCTAATCTTTCAACACACGCATAAGTTCGGGTAGCGACGTTACTCCCTTGGCAACCAGTAGGATGCCTTCTTCCTGCAGCGAACGCATTCCCTCTTTACGGGCAACTTTCCGCAGCACATCCATCTTCGCGCCTTTGGCGAGATACTGCCGCATATGATCACCTACGACGAGCAACTCGAAGAACGCAGTTCGGCCGTAGTAACCAATCCCGCCACAATCGGGACACACCTCTTCAGCCTGTTGTGGCGGACGGTACAACGCTTCGATACGCCCAGCGGGAAGCCCAAGTTTCTTTAGTAACTGGGGCTGCGGGGCATAGGCTTCTTTACAAGTTTCGCACAGCTTGCGAACGAGCCGCTGATTCACTACGGCCGTAATCGCGTTGGCGAACGTCTGCGGTTCGACCTTCAACGCCAGCACTCGCAGTAGTGCCTCAACCGTGTCCTTCGCTCTGATGGTGGAGATGACCAGCCGGCCTTCTGCCTGGCTGCACAAAATCTCCAGTGTTTCCCGGTTCACCAGGTTGCGGCACACGATCACATCGGGGTGCTTCAACAACAACCCAGGAAGCACCGCATCGGGCCCTTGCCCGGCGGCCGAGTCGTAAAGTATCTGATCGAGATTTTCAATCGGCGATTCCAGCTTCTGCTTGTCTTCGATCGCCTTGAAGTCACGCGTATACCGATCGGCCGAACCCAGGGCCCCGGCAAAAGTCGCCGTCAGGCCCGAAGCCGGAGGGGCCGAAAGCAGAATGAACCCTTCGCTTTGCGCCATCAGCTCACGAAGTTGCTCGACCATCTTGTCGCGCATGCCTAGGTCAGGAAGCTTCTCGAACTGGGTGGCTCCGTCGTCGAACTGAATGAGAGCCCGTTCGCCTGTCTTCGTGCCCTGCGTGGTGATGCTGCAGGTGTACTTCTTTTTGTGATAGGTAGCGCCGAACTCTCCCTGTTGCCGGTTGCGTCGATCGGCCGGGTTCAGTGCCGAGATAATCTTCATCACGGCCAGCATCGCGTCGCCGGTCTCACGGTCTTGCGGCTCACCGTTGGTCCACAGCCCGTCGATTTGATACCGCACACCCACGGCCTGTTGGGTGTAGTCCAACATCAAGGCTTCACTACGCCGGGCGAACGCATCGACCAACAACTCGCGCGTGAGATGAAACGCGGGCGATTCTTTGGCTTGCAGTAAATTAACGCCGTCCTGTGTCGAGTCTTTAGCCCCCATTGGGGTCAACGTCACCGGAATCAACTCTTCCGGCGAACGCCGCTCCGCATCAATCTTAATGCCCAGGGGCGCGACCACTCCAGAAAACCAGAATCGCAAGTGGGGCCCAGTCATCACTTGCTCATCGTACGGTACATCACGGTTGAAGTGCCGGATGAACAAGGTGAGTGGCACGATCCACGAGACCAGCATCAGTGGGAAACCAATCCAGAAGATCGGAATGAACCACACCAGGATGAAGCTAGGCACAAATGTGAAGAAGACTAGCGTGTTCCACTTCACAAAGTTGTATTTCCGCCGCTGACCCTGAAAATTCACAAAGTCAGAAGATACGATCCAAAAGCAGAAGACGAACCAGCACAGCGCAATCTTCGTCGCGCTCAGATAGAAGCCCGGCCCGTAGGGAAACCCTCGGCTTAGATCGATGTCGGGCCAAGAGAAGGTGGATTGCGCCGAGGCCACACCTGGCAGAAGCCAGCCGACAAGCACGATCAGGTTGAAAGCAGTAAGCAACGAACGCAGCATTACATAATCCCAGGTTGCGCAACACTAATGCCTTTGAGGGCCATCTTGAGTGCCTCGACATTCGGTGCGACTTCAAACGCCGTCGCTCGATCGATCAACTCGCGGTCCACCAAACTCAGCAGACTCATCGTGAAGTCTTGCATTCCCTCTTTCTCGCACATCCGAATCGCGTCGGGCAGCTTCTGATCCTGGTGCTCCAAAATCAGCTTACGCACCGTGGGGTTGAACGTCATGATCTCCACCGTCGGCACACGACCCACCCCCTCGGCAATCGAAGGCAGAAGTTTCTGTGCCACGATCCCACGCATGTTAAATGCCATCGCGCTTCGCAATGCGGGGTGCATGTCTTGGGGGAACAAATCAAGAATACGACCAATCGTGGTCGGCGCGGTCGAGGCGTGAATCGTACCGAACACCAAGTGACCGGTTTCCGCAGCGTGAATGGCCGTCATGAACGTTTCGCGGTCACGCATTTCACCCACGAGAATCACGTCGGGGTCTTCACGCACGGCATGTTTCATCCCGGTGTCGAAGTCGCACACGTCCATGCCGATTTCGCGTTGATTGATCAGCGACTTCTCTTCGGTGAATACAAATTCGATCGGGTCTTCCAGCGTGAGGATGTGCTTGCGGTAGTGCCGATTGATCCAGTTCAACATCGAGGCAATGGTCGTACTCTTACCCGAGCCCGTCACCCCGGCCAGCAGAATCATCCCCTGGTCAAATTTACAAAGCGACTCCATCGTCGGAGGCAAGTAGAGCCCTTCGAAGTTGGGGATCCAGTTGTTCACACGACGAGCAACCAATCCCACGTGCCCCAGTTGTTGAAGCAAGTTCACACGAAACCGCCACTCGGTCCCGTCGACATCCACGGTATGTGCAAAGTCGGCCCCACCGGTCTTTTCGAAGATTCCACGGTTGCGTTCATCCATCAGCGGGAAGCACAGCCGCACCATCTCTTCGTCTTCGATCGGGCCACGGCTCAACGGGCGTAGCGTGCCGTTCACGCGAATGATCGGCGGACGACCGACCTTCATGTGCAGATCGCTACCTTCGAGTTTCACAAGCGTGCGAAACAGCTTGTCAACTTCCAGCTCTTCGCGCTTTTGGATAAACCGGGCAGCAGCTTCATCGACTTGTGCGGCCATGGTTCAAACTCCTTCACCCTGGATAGATCGGCGGACCGTTCCGCGCGACCGACTTACAGCCGAACCGGAATCCCCCGGTCGGCCATCACCTGCTTCGTCTCTTGAATCGTGAACTCGCCATAGTGGAAGATGCTGGCCGCCAAGGCTGCATTGGCCTTGCCGATTTCAATCGCGTCGGCCAGGTGCTCGGGACGGCCCGCCCCACCGCTGGCCACCACCGGAATCGAAACCGCTTCCGCCACGGCGGTGGTCATTTCCAGATCGTAACCGTTCTTCGTACCATCGGCATCCATCGAGGTGAGCACGATCTCGCCCGCCCCCAGTCGCTCAACCTCGCGGGCCCACTCCACCGCTTCCAGCCCGGTGCCAACGCGACCCCCGTTGATGTGGACTTCCCAGAACTCTTTGCCATCCCGCTCGACCCGTTTGGGGTCGATATTTACGACAATACACTGGCTGCCAAACCTTCGGGCCGCTTGCCGCACAAAGTCGGGGTCGCGGGGAGCTGTGGAGTTGATCGATACCTTGTCGCTTCCGGCATTGAGCAGTTGCCGTACATCGTCGAGCGTGCGGATCCCGCCGCCCACGGTCAGCGGCATGAACACCACTTCGGCGGTGCGTCGAACCACATCGAGGATGATATCCCGCTCTTCGTGGCTGGCAGTGATGTCGAGAAAGACCAGCTCGTCGGCCCCCTCGGCCTCATAGCGCGCGGCGACCTCCACCGGGTCTCCGGCATCGCGCAGATTGACGAAATTGGTCCCTTTCACGACTCGACCTTCAAAAACGTCGAGGCAGGGAATCACACGGTTGGCCAACATGGCGTACTTCGGAGGGCTTCGCTGTTCCAGAACTGCCAGATCGGGCAGCGGCGCCGTGGCCGGAGCCGAGCGAAGGCAGGCGTGTCTCTTGATCGGTCGGCGACCGACCCAAACCTACACTTTAAGCCGCCCGAAGTGCCCGGTCAACGACCAGCCCCCCGCCCCAATTGCCGCAAAGGCAGGGGTTTACGCGCTTCATGAGAGATTCTTTCCGGCCTCAGGAGCGAAAAGCCAAAGGTAGGGTCCCTGGCCGCTTAGAAAGTCAATTCTTGAACCAGCAGCCTTTGAGCTGAGCGGCTCCAATGTCCTATCCAAAAGGGAAAAGAACCACTACGGCACAACGGCACAACGTGACGGTGAGACCGGAATCAGCCGACTCGTCAGAGCGGCCTATCACGAGGAGAAAGAGGAAACCGTTAAAGCACTTATTGGAAGTGCGTGCTTGAAGGGGGCGACCATCAGTTTCTGGGCAGATTCGAACCGAACGGCAAATACCAAAGCCTTACTTACGTCGTGCCGTCGTGGTTATCTTACTCTCGGGTTACCCACGCGACTCGAGTGCCAAAATAAAGCCTTCCCACAACGCCCAAACTAAAACGGGAACCGCTCGTCAATCTTGGCCTCAGACAACTCCACCAGAAAGGCCGACAACCGCTCGACGAGCAGCTTCATCATCTGTTGGCCTTTCTCGGCGGTTGCCGGGGGAGGGGTTCCGCTGCCGGTGTTCGTGGTGAGCAAGTGCCAGGGCCGAGTGATACTGACCCAGCCGCGGTTTACGGCTTCGAACCGCGTGGGAGCCACCGCCCCGTCATCGGCATTCAGTGACCCGTCGGCGTTCTTCACCACAAACTCATTGAAGTAGGCCAGCGCCAGCGAGGTTTCCATTTCACCTGCGTGGTCGCCCGCGTCGTCGAAGATTTCATGCTCGATGTCCGAAAGCATGCGATACCAATTGCACAAGAACAACTGTGCCGGGGTGTTGCCGTAGAGTTCTCGCAGCAGCGGTTTCAGGTCGTTGCCGCCGTGACTGTTGAGCAGCACGATCTTCTTGATGCCGTGCCCGACAAGCGACTCGACCAGGTCGGTGATGATCCGCCCCAGCGTCGAGGGCTGGATGTTCATCGACAGGGGGAACGCCTTCTGATTGGTTTCCGTGCCGTAAGGAATCGTGGGCAGCAGCACCACCTTGGCACCCCGGCGATGAGCTTCCTCGCAGACATGCTCGCCGATCGTGTCGCCCTCGAACGTGTCGGTGCCGTAGGGCAAGTGAAGATTGTGCGGCTCGGTCGCCCCCAACGGCAGCACGGCCACCTCAAACTGCCGCTGTTTCACATCACCGTAATTCGTTTCGGCCAGCTTCCAGGGGCGAATCGTCTCGGCCACCGTCTACTCCACATTCGAAATGCTAGAACCCGCGGGAGGAATGAGCGGCCGCCTGCGGAACCTTCTTCGCGTCCAGTTGTTGCTGCATGAACTCGCGGTACTGCCGGTCGAGTTCGCCGTACTTCGTCCCAGTTAGTTGGGCCAAAGTCGAGGGTGTGGCACGGTTCGTATACACGGCCAGCAGGTAACGCACGACCGCCTCACGATATCGCCCGCCATCGTAATGCATAAGGAAATGACTCAGCCCGGCGCACTGGCTGTAAAGCATGGCAATTCGCGAATCGGTCTGCAACTCGTGCCGGCCAAATCGTGTCAGCTTGGAAAGCGGCACATAAAAATCGTCGACCAGCAGCCGGTGTCGAGCCGCTCGCACGCGAACATGATCGTCCCCGCCGACGGAGACATAAGTATCGTGTTCAACCATCGACTCCATATACAGGGCGATCGCCTCCACAATCCAGAAGTTCGCCCGTTCGGCAGCATCGCGGGCCGTGGGGCGGCTCTCGCTGAACAGTTGATGGGTGGCCTCGTGATAGATCGTGCCCAGGTCCTGCTCGTCGCTGGCGAAAAAGTACGCCGTGCGGTTCGAATTGAAGTAGATGCCGATCGTCATGTCGATCAGGGGTTCGATCTTCCGTAGCGATTCGACATAGCGATCGCGGTCGCGGAAATAGACCACGCGATACTTCCGGCTCTGGCTCCTTCGCCGTGAGGATCGACCTTCGAACTGATTGGCCAACTGAGCGAGCGACTGGTCGTATCCCACGAACACCTGCTGCCACACGCGATAAAGCCGCTCGAGATGGGTCCCCAGTTCGACGGCCCCCTCGATGCTGTGATCGGTGATGATGCGGTAGTGCTCGGTTTCAATCACCCAGCCGTTTTGAATATCGGGATGAAGTCGGGCATCTTCCTCGGCCGTAATCCACCGCTTGCGATAGTACCGCTCGCCAGCTTCATACCGGGGAACGAACGCCTCGGGTAACCAGCCGAACTTGTCGTGCCAAACCTGGCCCCGACTCATCATTCGCAACGCGTAGGGCGTGTACCACCCGTCGCCCTGTCGCAGATAGCCCAGCAGTTGTCGGGCCGATTCCAGATTAGGATCCTCGCGAGCCGCTTCCAGCACCAACTCGAAGGCCAAAGAACCCTGCTCCTGATGAATCGCCCCCCGGGCCAACTCCATCAGGGCCGTGGCATGAGCGCGCCGCAACTCGGCAAACTTTTGTCGCCACTCTTCTAATACTGGCGATTCTTCATCTTCCTCAGCACTGGCCCAATCGGCGGCCGAGCCCGGCCCTTCCGGCAAAGTAACCAAATGAAGCCGCAACGGATCGTACGGCACCAGCCAATTCCGGGTTTCGTCCGCTCGCTCGGGCAAATCTTGAGCTTCACACCACTCGGCCAGCTCTTCAATCTGCTGAGCCTGCTGGCTCCAGAGTTCCGCCCGCGATTCCCACAAGTCGGCCCGAACGACTGCTGGACAAGCGACCAACCAGATGACCACCACTAGGCCGACCCACGCTCCGCCGAAAATGCACCTCGGGCGCGAGACAAACTGCGGGCTCGGGCTGCTAACAGGACGGGGCATCGCGGTTTCGAGCGTTCGAGAAGCTTGATGGGCGAGAATACGCCTTACTCCAGCATATCAGCGACCCCTGCCGGGTTCTTGCAGAACGTCGCCGAATTGCAGACTTCGCCCCGTTTGCCCCGGCCCGCAAACCCCACGAACTGCGGCTCAGAACGATTACACCAGTTCCCCACCCCACACCCTAACGGAGTGGGGGAGTGCAAATCCAAACCACCACGGCTCTCCCGCCGGCTACTCGAACCGCAGCACCGCCTTGATTGGGTAGTGATCCGAAAGCGGCTCCTTGGGGTTGGGCGTGTCGAGGCGTTCCCAGCTCAGGGCCGAACCGCCAGGGCCATAGTAGAAAATGTGGTCGATGCGAGTTCCATTGCGGAACGTGGGCACATTGTTGTCCCGTCCATCCTCGCTGGCCTTGTCGCTGGCCAGATAGCTGTCTTTCCAACCGTCGGAAGTCAGCCTGGGGTAGTCGCCGCGATCCTGATCGGTGTTGAAGTCGCCCACGAAGATGATCGGCAGGCCCGAGTCGCGAAACGGAGCCATCTTCTGTTGGCATAACTCGGCCATCCGGCTCTGGCTCGGGCGGGAGTTATCGAAGTGTGTATCGAAGAAGTACAACTCGCGACCCGTCGGTTTGTGCTTCAATTTGGCCCACACCACAATCCGCGGCAGGGCGTTTCCAAACCCAGTCGAAACCCGATCGGGCGTCGGCGACAACCACCAGTGACCAGTCTCCAGGGCTTCGAACTTCCGCTGGTCGTACAGCAGCGTTGCGTCCGGATAACCGGGGTCGTCTTCATCCTTGCGGTAGTGATGCGCCTTATAGTCGGGCAATTGCTCGAGCAGATAACGAAGCTGGCCCGGCGAGGTCTCCTGCAAGCCAATCAAGTCGGCCTTCGTATCGCGGAGCACCTGCACGCAAAGCTCGCGTCGCTTCTTCCAGCTCGAGACTTCCGGGTGCGAGCCGAAGATATCGACCAACACATTGAAGCTGACCACCGTCAACTCCATTGGCTTTTCTTCTTCAGCCGACGCCGGCGACTTAAGCCCTGCGAGTGCCACACACACGGCGAGCCCGGTCGTCAAGAACAGACGGCGGGTATGAGATGCTTTACGGTTAATCACTGCTGTCGGAGAAAGCTGCATCGAAGGAAACCTGGCTGGGGGTGAAATCGATTCGTTTAACAAACTCACATGCTTCCGTTGCGCCGGCCTCGCGGTCCATCCCGCAATCTTCCCACTCGACCGAGAGCGGACCGTCGTAACCAATCACGTTCAACGCACGGATGATCTCTTCAAAGTTTACACCACCGCGACCCGGCGAGCGGAAATCCCAGCCGCGGCGGGGATCGCCAAAGTTCAGGTGGCTGCTCAAAATGCCCGAGCGACCATCGAGCGTGACGATCGCATCCTTAATGTGCACGTGATAAATCCGGTCGGGGAACGCCCGAATGAACTCCACCGGGTCCACCCCTTGCCACAGCAGGTGACTGGGATCGAAGTTAAACCCGAACTCTTCGCGATTGTCGATCGCATCCAATGCCCGTCGGGCCGTGTGAATATCGAACGCGATCTCGGTCGGGTGCACTTCCAGCGCAAACCGCACCCCACACTGACCGAACACATCCAGAATCGGGTCGAAGCGTTCGGCGAACAAATCGAACCCGGCTTGAATCATGTCTTCCGGCACAGGCGGGAATGAATACAGCAGCGGCCAGATGCTCGAGCCCGTGAATCCGTTAACCACCCCCACGCCCAACTTCTGAGCAGCCCGCGCCGTGTCGGCCAGCATCGCGGCCGCGCGAGCGTTCACCCCGTGGGGTTCACCATCGCCCCAGACAGACTCAGGCAGAATCGCCTTATGCCGCTCGTCGACATTATCCAACACGGCCTGACCCACCAGGTGCGTGCTGATGGCGTGCAGTTGCAAATCGTGCCGCTCCAGCAGGTCACGCTTCGCGGCACAGTAGCCGTCTTCCTTCATCGCGGCCTGCACGTCGAAGTGATCGCCCCAGCAAGCCAGCTCGAGACCCTGATATCCGAATTCGCGTGCCATGCGGGCAAGGTCTTCCAGCTTCAGATCTGCCCATTGGCCAGTAAAGAGCGTTACAGGTCGACCCACCGTTAACTCCTCTCGTCGCGAAAAAGGAACTGAAATTCATCGTACCCAGCCGCGACTCGCACCCACTCAGGCTACGGCTTATGCGGATACGTCGTGTTATGAGCCACGAACAACCTCCATTGTCGCCAATGCCGCCTTACCTGCAATGTCCTGGGCAGTGCTATAATTCGAGGAGATTCGGCATTCGGCCGTTTTCTATCCTTTCGCCCGCGAACCAGCAGGAATCGATATGCTTCGCACGGCCACCTCTGGCATAGTGATTGCAACACTCGTGGCTCTGTTTACCCCCGCGGTAACGGCCGCCGAACCTCGGGTCGATCTCGAACTGGCCTTCGAGGGCGGCCTCTCGCCCACGGCACCGCAAAAATGGAGCCGCCTGCTGTCCGAAGTCGGGTTCGATCGCGTTCAACTCCGCTCCACACGTGGCAACGAAGAAGTGAAGGTCGACACACTCGGCAGCGGTCGTAACATTTCCTATCGCGTCTCGGGTGTCATCCTGGCAGACAACCAACTCATCGTCCCCGGCGGACGTTTTAGCATTAGCGATCGCACGAAGCTCGAGCTGTGGCTCGAACGCCTTCGCCAAGACGGTCCAGAGCTGCTCACCTCGGCTGAGAAACCCCCGTTTAATCTCACGGGCAACCAACTGAAGCAAGTCAACGACGATCTGATGCAGAAGTACGATCATCCCACTAAGGGCCAAGATCCCCGCGTGGTGATCGATCGCATCGAACGGAAACTCAGCGTTCCGATGGAAATCGACCGCTCGGCCATGACCACCCTTCGCTCAGGCAGCCATATCGAAGACGAACTCGAGGGGCTATCCGCAGGCACCGTGCTGGCCGCCGTGGTCCGTCCGCTGGGTTTGGCACTCGTGCCCGATCGGCAGGGGCAGGACGTTCGCTTGATCATCCGCCGCCCCAGCGGCAGTGAAGACATCTGGCCCGTCGGCTGGCCGCTACAAGGCAAACGACAAACGGTTGTCCCACAGTTGTTCGAACTGCTGCCGGTGGAGATCGACGACTTCCCCCTGCAAGAAACCCTGGCCGCCATCCAGGACCGCATCGACCTTCCCATGCTGTACGACTACAACGCGCTCGCCCGTCACGACATCAACCTCGAAGACATCCGCGTCTCGTATCCCGGCAAGAAGACCAGCTACAGCATCGTTCTGCAGACAATCCTGACCCAAGCCCGCTTGAAAGGCGAACTGCGAGTCGACGATGCAGGCGACCCGTTCTTCTGGATCACAACGTTACGGCCTTGATCAACGTCTTAGGCACAACCCACCGCACTTCGCTACAATCACCGTCAACCGTTGCTGTCTCGTGTCACTTCGCTTGACCACCGGCGAGAACCTCTTGTGGATATTCTAGACGGATCGCAAGTCACGGCTGCCCTGACCGAACTGGGCGTCACGCATGTGGTGTGGCTGCCCGACTCGGCGTTGGGGCCCTGGGAATCGGAGTTGGAAGCCTCCCCGCAACTCACGCTCGTTCGCGTTTGTCGCGAGGGCGAAGCCTGGGCCATCGCCGCGGGGCTGTACCTCGGCGGAGCCCGTCCCCTGGTGATGATCCAAAACACAGGGCTGTTCGAATCTGGCGACGCCCTGCGAAACGTGCTCTTCGATCTGAAGCTCCCGCTGTGGGCCGTGATCGGTTTCCGTAGCTACCTGGTCGAGAACTCACCCGACACGGCGAAGAAATTCACCGAGCCAATTCTGGCTGCCTGGGGCATCGAAACCACGCTGCTCGACATGCCAAATATGGCTCACAAGCTGGTCGAACACTTTCGCAAAGTCGAAGCCGAAGGTCGCCCGGGCGTCGTGCTCATCGCCGAGGGGAGAATGTAAATGTCCACCCCACCACACAACCGCCCCCGTATGCCATTCATCGAAGCGCTCCAGGTGCTCGAGCAATGGCGCAAAGACCAGATCGTCATCACCACGATGGGTTCCGCCCGCGAGTGGCCCAAGCTGAGCGATCATCCGCTCGACTTTCACTACATCCCCTCGGCCATGGGCGAAGCGCCCGCCTTGGGAATGGGCCTGGCCCTAGCACAACCCGAGCGCGAAGTCATCGTGCTCAACGGCGACGGCTGCATGCTGATGAACCTCGGCTCGCTGGTCACAATAAGAAGCAGTGCAGCGACGAACCTCACCCTGATCGTACTCGACAATGGCATCTACGAAGTAACCGGCGGACAACAACTCGCTAGCCAAAAAACCAAGGCCGACTTCAAACTCCTGGCCCAAGCCGCCGGCTGGTCCAGCGTATTCGCCTTCGACGATCTAAAAACCTGGCGCAACGAAATCACCACCGCCATGACGGCCCCCGGCCCCAGGTTCATCGCACTCTCCACCCAAACCGTCGGCGATTCCTACCACCTCGAATCCCCCGGCCCCATGCCCCAGCGAATCGCCAACTTCCAGGCGGCCCTTTCGCAGTAAAACGCGTTCTGACTGACGTTTCGGTGAACTGCTCCGCACTCCTGCTTCCCATACCAGGCGTGTATTCGATGAGAATGCGCTCGCCGAAAACCCAAAAGAATGTTTGACAACGCATATAGCGTTCTCTAGTCTCCGAGTGATTGAATAACTTCGAACGCGGCGGAACCTGCTCCTGAAGGCGGGTTTCGGGCCCCGCGTTCCTTAATTACGAACCAAAAGAAGCGCTACTGCAAAAACACCACGTTCCTCTTCGCGGCTGCCAGCCGTAGGGGAACGTGGTGTTTTTTTGTGTCCACACCGAACTCCGAGAACAGGGGCGAACGATGACGAACAAGAATCTACGCAACGTGAATGACAAGCGATTTCCTGCAAACCTCACAAGCAGGAACTTTGTTCCGTTGCTCCTCGGTGGCGTTCTGCTGCTCTTCTCTCATGCGGCCCACGCAGAGTCGCGTCTGTTCGACGTCGATCCGAATCAGAGCTTTCTGAACGCTACGACCAGACTCAGCCTGTACGACTTTGGTGTCTCGGTCTTTTCCGTGGGGCAGGGAACCCTGGGGCTGGGTGTGCCCGGCTATAGCGATGGCGAGAGCTTCCAACTCGATGGCATTGTCGCGGCCGACGTCGACTTCGATAACCAGAAGATTGTCTTCGGCGACAGTAGCGTGAAAGCCCTGGACAGTGGACTCTGGTTGCCATCCCCGATCGGGGAAGACGGACTCAAGCCAGGCGCCGGCGGAATTCTTTTCTCGACCGACTCCCTAGGCCTTCCCGGCAGCATCGCCGCTAGCCTGCGCGACTTGGGATTCGACTTCACCAGCTTCGCCGTCTCTCCCGATCTGACAATCGGCGGCACTGGGGTCCATAACTTCGATGCCGGCGTACTGGTCGATATCTCAGCCACGGTCGACTACGAAGGCCTCACCGGCATCGGGGCTCTTCTGGAGAAAGGCCAACAGATCTTTCGTGAAAAGGGAGCCGCTCAAAACGCAAGGCTTACCGGAACCATCACCGAAACCGGGGGCGATCAACTTTCGATCACGATGCCGTTCTCAACCAATATCGGGTTCTTCACCGAGTTCGACGGCATTGGTGAGATCGGAATCAGCATTGGCATCGAAGGGCAACTCGTCGGACATAGTATTCCGCACCCGTTCGATCCCTCGGTGCTCGAAATCGAAGGGAACGACACCCTCCTGGCGGCTCAAAGCTTAGATGGTCTGTTCGCCACCAATTACGACGGCGACGTGGGCGACGGGGCTATCAACACCTCGGCTTTGATGCCCCATGTCACGGTTGAAGCCACCGGCGACGGGACCTTCGACTACTATTCGTTCACGGTTTCTGAAGCCGGCACGCGAGGCGTGTTCGATATCGATCATGCAACGTTTGATACCCAGATCTTCCTCTACGACGAATTTGGTAATCTGTTGGCCACCAACGACGACTACTCGTCGATCGCCGGCTCCGGTGGAACATCAAGCTCTTTGGATGCCTTCTTGGAATACGTGTTCGCTAGCCCCGGCCGTTATGTGATCGGGGTTGGCCAGTACGAATCGTTCGGTCTACCAGGCGGAATCTCTGGAGCATTGCCGCCGGTCGATAGCAGCTACACGTTGCAGGTAACGGTCGTGCCCGAACCCTCCTCGGTCGTTTTGCTGGGAATGGGCGGCCTGTTCGGCGTGGTGCACTTGGTCCGCCGAAAGAGAATCGCAAATAGCAAGGCACTGGCAGCGGCGCTGTTCGCCTTTATCGCCCTCGGAACAGCTTCAGCACAAGCGGCGAAACTGAAGAACTCGCTGGAGTTGACGTATGACCCCAACGATGTAAACAGCATGAACTACCGGCTGTTCATACCTCCAGCCGCAGAAGAAGAGGACAGCGAACCACTTCCCCTGGTGCTTTTCCTTCATGGCTCCGGCGAGCGTGGCTTGGACAATTACTTTCAGGCTGCCAAGAACATCGACGGTCTGATCGACGCGACCCAGGGTGATGAGTACAGTGCCTACCTGGTTGCACCGCAAGTGCCAAGCCTCCCACGCGACGGATCGAGTTGGAACCCAGACGCCTGGTACGACCAGACGTACGACATTCTGCAGTCGGTGATCAACGACTATGCCGTCGATGAATCCCGCATTTACATCACGGGCCTTTCGATGGGCGGATTCGGCACATTCACCTACTTGAAGACTTACCCCGAGTTGTTTGCCGCAGCCGTGCCAATGGCCGGGTCGTCTTTCCCCTCAGAAGAACTCGTTGAAACGATCAAAGACATCCCCCTATGGATGTTCCACGGCACCCAGGACAATGCTGTCTCGGTTCAGGGGTCGCGCGATATGTATCAGGCACTGCTCGACGCCGGCGGGTCTCCCTTGTTTACCGAGATTCCGCACGGAGCGCACGACATCTGGCCCGAGGTCTACGGCGACGACGTGACTAACCAGTACGGCCTGTACCCTTGGCTATTCTCGCAACAGCGCACCCAAACATCGCTGATCACAGTGCCCGAGCCCTCGGCCGCAGTCCTAGCAATCTGCGGTGTGATGCTACTTACCCTAGGCAAGTTGAATCGGCGGCGTGGCGATGCGAAACGTCTAACTGCGTGACGAAACCTGCTACCGCCAGCTTAGCTGGGGGCCGTCATCCGTTCCCACAGCATGCGGTAGTATTTCATCACGCGGATGGGGTCGGGCGTGGACTGGCCTTCTTCGAGCAGGGTCCAGCCGTCGAAGCCGGTCTGGTTGAGCAGGGCGAACAGCTCCACCCAGGGGTAGTCGCTGATCAGGTCGTGGATGTGGATCGTACCGAGGCGGTCCTGAACCAACTTGAAGTTGTGTTCGAGCCCTTCGCCGGCCAGGTCAGTGCTGTTGCAGTTCCAGCAGACCACCGCCCCCGGATGATCGGCCGCCTGCATGATCTTCTGAATGTGGGGCACTTCGCTCGTCCCGCGTCCGTGCACTTCCAGGCGAACCGCCACGCCGAACCCCTCGCCGTAGGCCGCCATCTCGGACAGGCTCTTGCCAATCTGTTCCAATGTGCGACTCACAGGCACCTCGGTCGGCAGCCCATTGGGGCGAACCTTGATACCGGTACCGCCGCAGTCGTGGCACAGTTGGATGAAGGCTTTCGTCTCTTCGATGTTCTTCTTCAACTCGGCCGGGTCCGCCGAGTGATACTCGCAGGCGGTCCCCAGCCCGACCAACTCCACGGGGCTATCAGCAAATCGGGCTGCCACTTCGCGCCGCTCGGCGGGCGACAGCGAGGGCTCGACCCCATGCTTATGCGTACTGCGAAGTTCCACGCCGGCGAACCCGGTGGCTTCGCAATTGGCAATCACCGTGGGAAGATCCCAATCCTTCCCCCAGTTGTATGTGACCAGGCCGAGTTGCATGACGAGGGGTATCCTTCCAGGCAAAAGTCGCGGTGGTGAAAAATCTGAGTCGCTGTTTCAAGCTACCAGTATGCAATCAGACCAGTCCGCCCGCCAGCAAGATGGGTGATTGTGGTCCGTCACAAGACCGGCGCCTGGCACGCGGGGTAGCCTCCGAAAAAAACTGGCAACCTGAGGCAAAACTTCCCAAGATCGGCCATTCCCGAGCGAATCCCTGGCAAACAGCCGCCGATCTCCGGGAGTAGCACGATGTCCACCGCCCCCACGCAGCCACACTCAGCGACAGCACTCTCGGACGAAGAACGCATCTCCGCCATGCTGGCCTACCTCTCAGGCCTGGTCGGCTACGTGGTACCCATCCCGCTGGTGACACTCGTGGGGCCGTGCGCCTTTTACTTCATCTATCGCCACGAGTCGAAGTACATTGCCTTCCACGCCCTGCAAGCCATCTACATGCACTTGCTCGCCTTGCTCGCCTTGTGCGTATTCGTCGGGTTGGTACTCGGCACGATTTTCACACTGGGAATCGGCTACATCATCGCCAAACCACTCTTCACCCTGCTGTGGTTCGCAGTAGTCATCACCACCATCGTCATGGCCGTGAAGGCACTCAAGGGCGAACGCCACGCCCTCTGGCTCATCGGCCGCTGGGCCGAGGACCGGATTGGTATTTGATCGCTGTGGCTACAAAATCTCGTCCAACTCTTCCACCAGTTGGTCGAAATGCGCCAGCGCCGTCTCCACAGATTTCGGCTTTCGCATATCCACGCCGGCGTCATGCAGCAGGTCGAGCGAGTACTTCGACGATCCGCCACGGAGGAAGTTCAGGTAGTCATTCAACTCCGTCTCACCGCCGCTCAGCACACGTTCGGCCAAGGCGATCGCCGCTGAGAGCCCCGTGGCGTACTTGTAAACATAAAACGCTCGATAGAAGTGCGGAATACGCAAACACTCCAGCGACAGCTCATCGTCGAGCGTGAAGTCGGGCCCGAAGTACTGCTCGAGCAGTTTCCGATACACCGACTTGAACGCATCCAGCGTCAGCGGTTCGTTCGCGTCGGCCATCTCGTGGGTGATCTTCTCAAACTCGGCGAACATCGTCTGGCGGATGATCGTGCCCCGGATGGCATCGATCTCGCGATTGATGAGGTAAGCCCGTTGCTGGTCGTCGTCGGCCCGTTCGAGCAGGTACCGGCTCAGCAACTGTTCGTTGAACGTGCTGGCCACTTCGGCCACGAAGATCGTGTACTGATAGTACTGCATCGGCTGCGTGGTTTTCGAATACCATGTATGCATCGAGTGCCCGGCTTCATGGGCCAGCGTAAACACGTGCGACAGCACATCGCTCTGGTAGTTCATTAGAATGAACGGATCGCCGTCGTAGGCCCCAGAGCTGAACGCCCCGCTTTGCTTGCCCTGGTTTTCGTAGCGATCGCACCATCGCCCCTTCAGGCCTTCTTCCAACACGTTGCAGTAGTCGTCGCCTAGCGGGGCGAGGGCCTTGATCACGACATCGACAGCCTGGTCCCAGGTGTGCTTGACTTCCATCTTGCTCAGGATCGGCACATAGGTGTCGTAGTGATGGATCTTCTTGATCCGCATCCGCCGGCGACGCACTTCGTAATAGCGATACAGTCCCGGCAAGTGATGATGCACTGCATCGATCAGGTTGTCGTACACCGAGGCCGGCACATTGTCGCTGAACAGCGAAGCACCCCGGGCGCTGTCATAACCTCGGGCCCGGGCGCGGAACACATCGCCTTGGATCGAGCCTCGCAGCGACGCGGCCAGCGTGTGCCGATGGGCATCGATCTGCGCGTAGTACTGGTGGAACGCTTTCTTTCGCACCGAACGCTTGCGAGAGACCAACAGCGCCGAGAACGAAGAATGGCTCAATTCGATGTTGTGCCCGTTTGCATCTTCGATCATGCCGAACCTTAAGTCGGCATCGTGCAACTGGCGAAACACCTGGCTGGCCGTGCTGGCCATTTCGCTCTGCATGGCCAGAAGTTTTTCTTCGCTATCGCTAAGCGTGTGCGGTTTGTAGCGCAGCCACCGCTCGAGCAGCAGGTGATAATCGGCCAGGGCCTTGTCTTTGAGAAACCGCTTCATCTTCGAGTCGGCGATGGCCATGATCTCGGGCTGTATGAAGCTGGCCGCCTGCTGGGCGCGACTGCCCGCGTTGGAGTAGCGAGCGAGCATGCTCTGGGCGTCGCTGTCGCTGGTGTCTTCGGCAGTTCGCAGAAAGGCATACGTGCCCAACCGATCGGCCACCCGATCGAACTCGGTATCGAACTTCAAGCACTCGGCCAACTGCTTCGCGCTATGGCCCAAGGTTCCGCGAAATTTTTCGAACTTGGAAATTCGCTTCTCCCACTTGCGGAACTCGGCGTCCCACGCCTCGTCGTTCTCGTACAGCGTGGCGAGATCCCAGGTGTCTTGCTTGCGAACTTGCTTGCGGGTGGGAATTTTCTTGGTTTTGCTCATAGGTTCGGTGGTAGGAAGACCTTTATAGGATGGCTGGTCAGTAAGAGACGCAGAGCTATTTGGCAGCTAGTGGAGTATCGATCCAGGTTTTTTGTTCGAACGAGGCCAACACCGCGTCGGCCACCCGTTGGGCATTCAGTCCTTCGTAGTAACTAGGCACCGCCGGGCGTCCTTCGACGATGGCCGAAACGAACTCCCAGGCCAGGTCGTAACGAAACACGGTGGCGGGTTCGCCCACGCTCGGGTCGCGGGGGCTATCGGCCGGTTTGAGGAACTCCTCTGGCACAGGCGTCGGTTCCAAGTCTTGCCCGGTGCGGCCCAGCAGGATGGTATTCGGCTCGTGCAGACGATAAACGGCCGAAGCTTCCGAGCCGTTGATTTCGGCCCATTCGTGTCCGAAACCATTGCGGCCATATCCCTTGGCCAGCGTAGTGCCTTCCCAAACGCCCACCGCGCCGCAGTCAAACTCGCCGATGAGGCACGACCAGTCGTCCACGTTCGAGGGCGGACACGTTCCGCCGTCGGGTGTGGAAGTTCGTTCGGCAAATCGGGCCACCGCGCCACACACTTTGCGAATCGGTCCCAACAGGTCGATGGCGAAGTCGATGCGGTGGATGGTCATGTCGAACAGATCGCCCGCCCCGGCCTTGTCTTGATATTGTCGCCAGCCCCAACTGGTTTCCGGCCAGTCGAGAAAACGTTGCGAGCGGAAGTGCCGCGGATCGCCCAACTTTCCGCTTTCGACCAGGTGCTTCATGTACCGCATGGCGGGTGCGAAGCGATAGGTGAAGGCCGTCATGTGCACCACGCCCGCATCGCGAGCGGCCACATACATTTCCTCCACCTCGGTGGCACTCAGCCCCAGGGGCTTCTCGCACATCACATGCTTGCCGGCATTAACCGCTGCCAGCGAGATGGGGCGATGGGTGAAGTTCGGCGTGGCGATGATCACCGCATCCACAGCCGGGTCGTTGCACACAGCCTCGAAGTCGGAGGAAACGATCGCTTCGGGCCAGTCTTCCCGCAGTTCGGCCCAATCTTTCGCCCGTTTGGCGGCCAGCTCCTCGTTGGCATCGCACACGGCCACCAGTCGAGCCCGCTGGTCGAGGGCCATCCCCGGCACATGGTGATAGTCGCTAACAGCCCCGGCCCCGATGATGGCCACGCCCACCGGAGATTCAGATTTTGCTTGGTTCATCATTCTTCGTTATGTGCGTTAGAAAAGCCCGAGTTTGAGCTGGTAATTGCTCCCCACAGCATTGCTCCAGCAGCGTACGCGTTGCGCCGGGTTATCACAAGCCGTGCGGCAAGCGAGTCAAAACCCCAAGATCGCCGCGTGCCCGACGAACACTCACCCGAAGCGCGATATTCGCCGCCGCGTGGTAGATTTCGCATCGAGAACGACCGCATTTCCCCGCCGAGCCCTTGGCGACAGGGTGGACATCAGCCGCACCATGAACTCCGACGCCCTGCAATGCTACAAAACCCGCTGGGAAGCCAGGTGGCACCTCGCGGATAAGTGCCGCCGCAACGATCGCTGGCTTGCCCGAACCCGCCGGGCGATTGCTTACCCGGTGATCATTTATGTGGTGTTCGATCCCACGGTGGCCGCTATCTTGGGCCCGTTGGTACTTGTGATCGCCGCGCTGGCCATAGCGCAGACCTACTACGTCCGCCAGTGGCGAAAAGCCTCCCGGGCCGCCGACTTCTACGCACGAGGTATCGATCGGCTAACCGACAACTGGGCCGGCCACGGAGACCCCGGCTGGCGGTATTACCAGGCGACCGGTTCCGGCGACCACCTGTATGCCGACGACCTCGACATATTCGGCCGCGGTTCGTTGTTCGAACTGCTGGGCACCGCCCGAACGTCGATGGGGCAGAAGACGCTGGCCCAATGGCTCACCGCCGCTTCGCCTGCGGACGAAATCCGCTCGCGTCAAACAGCCGTGACGGAACTTCGCGACGAGGTCGACCTTCGCGAGCAGTTAGCTGTCCTGGAACTCGACGCCCAGAATATCTGGCCCCAGTCGCTCGAGCGTTGGCCCACGTTCGAACCACTCTTCCCGTCGAAAGCCTGGAAGCTGCTAGGCTGCGTCCTGGCATGGACGCTGCTGGGGCTCGTCGTTTGGGCCTTTGCCAGCGGAGCCACCTCGCGAACGCCCTGGATGTTCCTCGCCGCAGGGATCGTCGTCGAAACCGCGTTCTATCTAGCCCGCCGCCGCACGGCGACCGAGATCGCCCATGAAGTCGGGCCCGCCGGGCTCACACTTTCGGCCCTAGCTCGACTTGCCGTTCCGTTTCGCTCCCAAACATTTCAATCACCTCGACTGCAGCAGTTGGCCACCGACTTGGAACAAGGACCATCACTAGCCCATCCCCGCTACCTGCGGGCGTACAGTCTTCTGCAGAACTCGGTTGTCTACCTACTGGCCGCGCAGTTGTTTCCTCCGCTCGAGAGCTGGCGGCTGAACCATCACACCGAGTCCCACGAACCCTGGCGAATCATCGGTGAGTTGGAAGCCCTGTCGGCAATCGCCCTTTACACCTACGAGCACGCCAGCGATCCATTTCCAGAGCTGCACGATGAGGAGCCATGTTTCGTGGGGCAGGGGGTCGGTCACCCCTTGTTGCCCGAGGTGAAATGCGTACGCAACGACATACAGTTGGATAGCGCATCGCGACTAGTCATCGTCAGTGGATCGAACATGTCCGGCAAGAGCACCTTGTTGCGGGCCGTGGGCATCAACGCCGTGCTGGCCCTGGCCGGTGCTCCGGTCCGTGCCCAGTCGTTACGCATTTCACCGCTGAACGTCGGCACCGCGATGCGCTTCCGCGACTCATTGCGCGAAGGCGACTCATACTTCTCGACCAACATCAAGCGATTGAAACAGATTATCGATCAACTCCACGGCGAACGCCCGCTGCTGTTTCTCTTCGACGAGATGCTATCAGGTACCAACTCCACCGATCGCCTGGCCGGGGCCGAAGCGGTTCTGAAGAAACTCCTTCAAGGCAGCGCGATCGGCATGATGACCACCCACGATCTGGCCCTAACTGAGTTGGCCGATGTGCTCGGCCCCTCCGTGACCAACGCCCACTGCGAACACCAGTTGCTCGACGGCAAGCTAACGTTCGACTATCGTTTACGTCCCGGGGTCGTTCAAAAGAGCAACGCCGTCGAGTTGATGCGTGGCTTCGGGCTCGATATCTGATTGCGGCCAATTCGCGCATGCCGCGGTCGCTCTTTCTCTTCTCGCGTACTGAACCAATTCCATGTGCCTCATCGCCATCGCCTTCCAACTGCTTGAAGACTGCCCCGTGGCGGTGGCTTCCAACCGTGAAGAGTTCTTCGATCGCCCTTCGACCACACCAACGATCGAACAGGCCCGCGTCGACGGTAAAAAAACACGGCGGTTCGTTTGCGGGCTCGACCAACGGGCCAGCGGTACCTGGCTCGGCGTGAACGACGCCGGGTTATTCGTCGCCGTGACGAATCGCTATCACGAGCAAATCCCACCCAACCCCCGCTCGCGAGGGCTGTTGTGCACCGAGCTCTTGCTGTTGCCAACCGCTGCGGAGGCGGCCGATCGCGCAGAGACCGAATTCGCCACGGGACAATACGCCGGGGCGAACTTCATCTGCCTGGATCGCACCGCGGGCTACATCATCCACGGCGGCGCGGAAATACGCCGCTCGCAACTCACGCCGGGATTGCACCTCATCACCAACCACGATCTCGACGAAGAGATCGACGACCGGCAGCAGTACTTTCGAGACCTCTACGCCGAGCAAGAAATCGTCACGGCTGAGGAATTCATCGCGGCCACCGCGAACATCTGCGCCCAGGGGCCCGATGCCGCCAACGAACGAACCATCATCGTCCGCGTTGCCGATCGGGGCACCGTCTCCTCCACTCTCGTCACCCTACCGAACGACCCCAGCCAGGCCATCTATCAGCACGCCCCAGGGCCGCCCGACAAAACGCCGTACGAAGATTACTCACCGCTGCTCAGAGATGTGCTCGGTGCTGAGTGAGCACTCTCGCCCTCACACGCATCAGCGAATTCATACAGCAGGGTATTCCCGCGCTTGCCGACCTGTCGCGTGGTGCCCATCTCGCGAAAGCAATACGCAATCTGTTGGGCAAACGATCGATTCACATCCAGCGCCGTGGCCAGCTGCTGCGTGTCGAACGGTTGGGGCAGATCGCCACCAACAAAGTGCCGCAAGTCGACGGCCCGATGGAGCGAGTGCATTTCGACGATTTCAACCAACCGCCGGTCTTCAACCACCTGATCGTCCTTCCGCCATCGGCGTCGTCGACCATGGCCCGGGTAACGAAGCTCCTCCACATCGACCAGTAACACGTCGAGCGACAGTCGCTCGTGCGGGAACACCCGAGTGAAGTGCACCAACTCTTCGAACACATCGAGCCGGGTACCGCGTTTGGGGCTTAAGCGTCGATGCTTGACCTTTCCGGCCCGGGAAGCCTGCTTCACTAGGTGCTTCCGCCCGATCACCGGCTTCACAACCCGCACGCGATGCTCACCGAGCAGGGCGTGAATTTTGTCGCGAATGGCCGACAGCGAGCCGTGCTGAATCTCGACCAATTCATCACCGCTGACCACATCAATGCGGTAATCGCCCAGCGTGACCTCGGTGTCGGCCGGGTCATCAGCGTACAGCTCTTTCAACTGGCGATGCAGCGACGTTTCCACAGAATGCTCGGGTCTGAACCGACGAGAGGAGCGAACACAATCACTCGTCCTTTATCGGCCGCCACGGCAGCATCGCTGCAATCAGAATTCGCAGGCCTTAGCCCGCATCAGGGGCAGGGGGCTCGATGCCGAAGTCCTGGATCGTAAACAACGGGTCGAACTTGTAGCCCTTCGACTCGAAGTTCTCGCGTCCACCTTCCATGCGATCGATCACCGCCAGAACCCCACGCACCTTGAGGCCATACGCTTCGCAGCGTTCGATGGCCAACAGCGAAGAACCACCGGTGGTGACAACATCCTCGACAATCACAACTTCATCGCCCTCAGCGACGGGGCCCTCGATAAACCGCTGCAGACCGTGCCCTTTGGCTTCTTTGCGAACCATGAAGCCCAACAGCTCTTTGCCTTGTACCCCGGCTATGGTGATGATGGCCGCCGTGATTGGGTCGGCCCCAATGGCCATTCCGCCCACTGCCTTGGGCAGCGAGTCGCCCATCAGTTCGAGCATTCCCTCGGCCACCAGCTTGGCACCTTCGGAGGAAAGCGTTACCTGCTTCCCGTCGAGGTAATACGAGGCCTTCTTGCCCGACACCAGGGTGAATTCGCCGAACTTGAGTGCCCGTTCGCGGACCAATTCCAACAACGCTTGCCGATCGTACACAGCCCAGAACCTCGCCAGATGGGAATCAACTCGTTTGACTTCCCATCGTATAACACGTCCAGCACACTTCGACCAGTGGCTGCGCGGGGGGCTGTGAAGGCAGAGAGGGGGCGCCGACACGCTGACGTGTCACGCAATTTCGGTTGAAAACCGGACCGGTACCTAGCGGCGGATGACCACGCGAGACCCGACACTCAGAATGTCGTACACGTCGGCCACATCTGCAGGGCTCAGTCGCACACAGCCGCGAGATTCGGCTTTTCCGACACTCTCCGGGTTGTTCGTACCGTGGATCCCCAGGCCTTCGCCCAGGTCGATCCAGCGTTCACCCAACGGGTTCGAAGGATCGTCGGCGGCAATCTGCTGGTCGGGACCGTAGTACACCGGGTCTTCCAACTTCTGCTGCACGACATACTCACCCACGGGGGTCGAGTTGTCTTGCCCGATGCCGATCCGGAAACGACCCGCATAGCGACCCTGCACGTACAGCGTCAGCAGGAATTCATCCAAGTCGACCACCGCGTCGAAGGGGCCAGGCACCACTTTCAATTCCGAACCCACTTGCAGTTGGTTGGGGGCTACCCCGTTGATCTTGGCCAACAGTTGCCACGGCACTTGATACTTCTCACCGATCGACTGCAACGTGTCGCCCGGCTGCACCACGTAAGCCGGCACCAACAGGTTGTGCTGGTTCGAATAAACCACCGTGCCAGCCACGCGGTCGAGGATACGCATCAGATCCTGATGCTCGACGGCCGAAAGCCGGGGGTCGTCGTACCACCGCGACAATTCCAAGTGGGCATTAGCCACGTCACCTTGTTCGAGTTGCTGACGAATGGCATCCATGGCGGCGGCGAAATCGTTCTCGCCAATGCTCGCAGCTTCGGTCTCAGACATGGCTGCTGGATCGGCCACGGCCATCTCTTCGTTATACGAAGCGGCCGGCGTCTGTGCGGCCGCTGCATCGGTTGGTGCCATGCCGTGTTGCGAGTCGTCAGGAGCAGCGCCCGTAGCTGGTTCGAGCGAAGCACTCGGAACCGGCTCGCCCGGGAACCCGCCAGGGTTGGCCACCGGTGGGGCCGGCGATTGAGCCTCGAACGCGGGAGCGTCCTCCGTCGCATTGGGCACCGCAGGCAGACCCGCATTGAACGGCGGGGCATCGCTGGCGCTGTTCATCGCCGCTTCCGGTTGATACGTCGGAGCATCGCCCCCCGTCCCCGGATCGCCGAATGCCGGCGCGTCGCTCATCGAGGCGTTGGGGTCGGCGTGATAGGCGCCGTGTCCTGTGCTAGGCGGTTCCACCGGCAACATCGTGGCCGGATTTCCACCGGGGCCCATCTCGGGGATCTCAATCTTCGGCGCATCGGCCCAACCCTCGGGAAGCCCTTCCGGCGGTGGTCCCGGCGGCTCGATGGTGAGAACCAGGTAGACGCCGTAGGAGATGCCTCCCAAGAGAAAGATAATCAACATCGACTTGATTGAGCTCACGTTCGTCCTCCTTGACGATGACGTGTCGTACGGCAACGGATATTCTCAGCGGAGATGAACTGCCCAAGGTGGCAACATGGCTCTCACTTAGAACCCGTACTTCTGTCTTGCGTTAACTTACGTTTCCTGCAATCGCTTGTAGAAACCTTGCTACGGCGATCGTTGCTCGAAGCGTGACTTCCAATACAGGGCGATTGATGACTGACTACGATTCCTATGACGATGACTACGATGACGAGTACGAAGAAGGCTATGACGAGTTCGACTCTTCAGACGATGTGGTCGACCTCATCGAGTGCTCTTCGTGCGGGGCCATGATCTACGAAGAAAGCGAACAGTGCCCTCACTGTCACGAGTATGTCACGCATACCAGTTCACCGTGGTCGGGACGTCCGTGGTGGTGGTACGTCCTGGCCGTCGCCGGGTCGGTGGCCATGGTATTTGCGCTACTTCTCTAATCTTTACGATCGGCCGCGGAGTTCGTCCGCAACGACGTTTCTACTTCGGGATTGTAAAAAAAGCGGGCGGATCGTAATCGAACCCTTCGTTTGGTGCCAGATCATCGTCGCTAGAGCCGCCATGCAACGCTGGCATCGGTAGAACCGCGCGCAATGCTTGCGAGCGGAAAGAGAACACTTCACCACAGGAGCAGACTCGACGAACCAGCTAACCCTCCTCGGGAGGTGCTTCCTGCTTGGCTTCGCGCAGTCGGGCGCGAATCTTCTCCAGCCGTGCGGCCAGGTCTTTCTCGAACCCCCGCGGCACCGGCTGATAGTACTCGCGATCCACACCTAGATAATCTTGCGCGGCAATTCCATCCGCCTCGTTGTGCGAATACTGATAGTCTTCGCCGTGCCCCAAGCGTTTCGCCCCTCCGTAGTGCGAATCGCGCAAATGCACCGGCACCGGGATCAACCGGCCCTCGTTCACATCTTTTCTCGCCGCAGAAATCGCCATCGTCGAGGCGTTCGACTTGGGGGCGCAAGCCAGATACGTCACTGCCTGCGAGAGCGTGAGCTGGCACTCGGGCAAACCGACAAACTCGCAAGCCTGCATGGCCGCCACCGCCAGCGGCAACGCATGCGGGTCGGCATTGCCCACATCTTCGCTGGCCAGAATCACCAACCGTCGGGTCACAAAGCGAACTTCTTCGCCCGCTTCCAACATCCGGGCCAGCCAATACAACGCCGCATCGGGATCGCTGCCGCGGATGCTTTTAATCAACGCGCTGGCCGCATCGTAGTGAGCATCACCATCCCGGTCGTACTCGATGGCCTTCCGCTGCACCGATTCTTCGGCCAACTCACGCGAGAACTCCAACGGTCGCTCGCTGCTGGAAAGCACGCCAATCTCCAGAGCCGACAGCGCCCGTCGAGCATCGCCGTCGCTCACCTCGGCCAGGAAATCGAGCGCCTCCTCATGCATCCGCACCTCGTGCTCGCCCAGACCACGCTGGGAGTCGCTCAGTGCGAGCTTGAGCACATCCTTGATGTCGTCATTCGTCAGCGATTGGAATTGAAAGATCTGGCTCCGGCTCACCAGAGCGCTGTTCAACGCAAAGAACGGGTTATGCGTCGTAGCCCCGACCAGCACCACCGTGCCGTTCTCCACATCGGGAAGTAGTACATCCTGCTGTGAGCGGTTGAAGCGATGAATCTCATCGACAAACAGGAGCGTTCGCTTCCCGTCGGCCAACAGCCGGTCGCTAGCCGCTTGCAGCAGTGCCCGCAGGTCCTTCACGTTGCTCGTCACGGCATTGAGCTGACAAAAGTGGCTCTTCGTTTCCCCGGCCAACAGCCAGGCCAAGGTGGTCTTTCCCGTGCCGGGTGGGCCATAGAAAATCACCGAGCCAAGCCGATCGGCCGTGACCAACCGTCGCAGTAACTTGCCTTCGCCCAACAGATGCTGCTGCCCCACGAACTCGTTCAATTTGCGGGGCCGCATCCTGGCCGCCAGCGGTTTCGCCCTCTGTCGGTTCTTTTCTTCAGCGGCTTCGAACAGCGACTTCATGGCAAGCTCGGGTGGTTGATTGAAAGATACGATCGGAGCCCTGACCGCCGTCATTCTAACAGTGCCGAGAGCAGTTGTCGGGGGTGCGGCTCTAGTTGCCAGATAACCCGCGGCTCACGCGCCGCACCTGCGGCGGACACTTCGACCCTAAAACAATCGCAACTGGCCTGTGGCATTCGGCGGTGGGGTGAACTGGGTACTATCCAGCTTCGGTAGTCGCTGATCGAGCCCCGTCTTGCGTTTAAACACCTTGAACACGCTGGCGATCTGCTCCGCATACGGCCCCTCGCCACGCATTCGCTCGCCGAACTGTCCGGAATTGAGCCCACCATCCCGCGTGCGGCGAATGTGAGCCTCGACACGTTCGGCCGCCAACGGGTAGTTATCTTCAATCCACTGCAAGAACACCGGTTCGACCGTCAACGGAAGTCGCAGCAGAACATAAGACGCCGCCGAAGCTCCCGCCTCTTTCGCGGTTTCAAGCAGCGCCGGGATCTCGCGATCGTTCAAACCCGGTATCACGGGGGCGACCATTACCTGCACTGGAACCCCCGCCTCGGCTAACGTGCTCATCGCGCGAAGCCGTGCCGCAGGAGTCGATGTCCGCGGTTCCATCGTTCGGGCCAGCTTCTCATCGAGTGTCGTCAGGCTAATGCTCACATTCACCACGTTTGCCGCCGCCATAGGGGCCAGCAGATCGAGGTCCCTGGTCACCAGCGCATTCTTCGTCACGATCATCGACGGCTGCCGCGCGTCATGCATCACCTGTAAACACGCCCGGGTGAGCTGAAACCGCCGCTCGGCCGGCTGATAACAGTCGGTCACACCCGAGATGGCAATCGGGTCACCTTTCCAAGACGATCGCGAAAGTTCATTCTTCAGCAACTCCGCCGCGCGGTACTTCACCATCACCTTGGTTTCGAAGTCGAGCGCCGCATCGAAGCCCAGGTACTCATGCGTCGGGCGGGCGTAACAGTAAGCACAACCATGTTCGCAGCCCCGGTAAGGATTGATACTCCAGCGGAACGAAATGTCGGGACTGTTGTTCTCCGACAGAATGGTGTTGGTCGTGTCCTCCAGAAACTCAGTCGCCACCTTCCGGCGTCCCTCGGGCACTTCGTCCGTTGCTTCCAGATGCTCGAAGTCGTCTTCAACCCGGGTCGATTCGAAGCGATTGGGTGGACCTTTGCGCGCAGCCCGACCAACAAATGTGGGGGGTGTTCGCTGCGAATCGTGAGGTTCCATCATGGTTCTTTTCAGGCTGGCCGCTGAATTATAGCCGTGCATGTCTCGGGGATATCCCCCGCTAGAATCACCGGAAGGTTTCCCCAATCGGATTAAGGCGACGACCCGACGGTGCATTTTCTTGACCATTGTGCCCGTACACAGGTAGTCTGCATGCGGCGCGGTAAGAATTGTCCCGGGGCGGATCAAGCCACACTGGAGCGTTCGCATGGGAATTCGTCGAAGAGGTGCGTTGGCCTGGGGCCTGCAACTAGGTGCGGTATTTTTCCTGACCGGCACCGCTGAGGCCCGCGATTATTTTCTCACCGTCGGCGGGGGCTATTCACCCACCGGCAACCAGGTCTCGCTGGAGAAGAACGTCCAGTTCTTCGAACGGCTCCTGGACGAGCAAGGTCTCGCCGCCGCCTCGCACGACGTTTACTTTAGCGACGGGCACAGTCCCCAACGCGACCTGCAGTTCTACGACCCTGACTTTCAGGTGCCCAAAATAAACCGCCTGCTCGCCCAAATCTTCGGCAAAGAAGACGGGCTCTCGAATCAATACCGCAGCCATTCGCTGCAAAACGTCCGCGGCGCTTCGAATCGCGTAAACCTCGACCGCTGGTTTCAGGAAGTCGGAAGCACCCTGCAGCCAGGCGATCGCGTATTGATCTACCTCACCGGCCACGGCGGGAAAGGCAAGCCGGTGAAGAATCCGCATTTCTACATGTGGAACGGTGAGCGGATGCCGGTGAAAGACTTCGTCAAAGAACTAGACAAGTTGCCCGAGGGTGTTTCCGTCGTCACCGTGATGGTGCAATGTTACTCCGGAGGGTTCGCCAACATCGTGTTCGACGAAGGTGACGACGAGAAGGGATTAGCCTCCGCTTCAAGATGCGGGTTCTTCGCCACCGTCAAAGACCGTGTTGCGGCCGGCTGCACGCCAGATATCTCCGAAGAAGACTATCACGAGTACAGCACCTACTTTTGGGCGGCCGTCGGGGGCAAAACCCGCATGGGCGAAACGATTGAAAAGCCCGACTACGACCACGACGGAAAAGTCTCGTTCGCCGAAGCCCACGCCTACGCTCTGCTGACTTCACCCACCATCGATATCTCGGTGAAAACCTCCGATGTGTTCCTCCGCACCTACAGCACCTTAGAAGCCGACGGCGACGAATCGCTGCTCACGCTCAGCACGCCCTATGAATCACTCCTCGAAGTGTCCGACCCCATCGAACGGGCCGTCATCGAAGGGCTTTCGTCCCAGCTCGGGCTCACCGCCAGCGATCGTGCAGAGGCTGCCCGCAAGTTGGCAAAGTCCATCGAAAGTGAAAAGAAACAGCTCGAAGGTCGCAAGCGAAAGCTCAACGGCGAGTTGGGCGGTATCCGAAAACACATTCGCGATGAACTGCGTGACCAGTGGCCCGAGTTGGAAAACCCCTGGCATCCCGATGTGGCCGAGTTTATGGCCCTCGAGTCAGCAGCCATCACCAACGTCATCGAATCCCATTCAAAGTACAGCCGCTTTGTCGAGCTGCGATCGAACATCGGCGAACTCGAAGAAGGTAGCTTCGATCTCGAACGTCGCTGGGTGAAGTGCCAACGCCTAATCCGCACACTCGAGAACGTGATCCTCGCTGCCAACCTCACACGTGTCGCATCACCCGAGATTCTTTCCCGCTACGCTCAACTGCAAGGCGAAGAAGCCGCCACGCTGCACGAGGCTCCTTCGGCGAAGCTCGACGACTCTCCACGTGAGCGTAGACTGGTTCCGGTGAGCACCACCGTGACGCCCGCGGTCGATGAAGAGCAATCAGAGATAGACACCGAAGAACAAACTGAGCCCACCGACGAAGCCGAAGAAGAACCGACCAACTGCCGGCTGCCTGACCAGACTCAGCTACGTTAGTTTCCCACGCACACCTCACGGCCAAACATGTGGCCCCTTCGGCGGCAGCACGGCGGCCAGGGGGCACGCCTCGCACTTTGGCTGCTTCCGGCAATAGCCGTTCCCCACCCGAACCAGCAGGGCGTGATATTCGTTGAACAGAGCCACGTCCTGCCGCAGGTGCCGTTCGAAGTGTTCCTTGATCGTGTGATAGTCGGCCGCGTGTTCGATCCATCCATGCCGCTTCAGCACCCGGTGTGTGTAGGCATCGACCACAAACGTCGGCTTGTCGCCGGCATACAACAAAATCGAATCGGCCGTCTCAGGCCCAACACCGTTCACTCCCAGCAACGCTTCTCGTAGCTGCTCATGCTCGGTCGCAAACATCACCTCGAGCGACCCCTGGTGCTCCTCGACGATGAACTTCAGCAGGTTCCTAAGCCGTCGGGCCTTCAGCCGGAAGTAACCCGCCGGACGGATCAACTCGGCCAGTTCCTCAACCGGTAAGGCGTACATCGCCTCAAGCGAGAGTACGTCGGCCCGGCGTAGATTGTCGATTGCCCGCTCGACGTTCTTCCAACTAGTGTTTTGCGTCAGTACAGCCCCCACCATCACCTCGAAGGGACTCTCACCGGGCCACCACTCCTGCGGGCCGAAATGGTTCAGCAGCCGCCGGTAAACTCCCCGCAATCGCGCAGCGTCGGAAGTCTTCCCAGATTTCTTTGCGGTGCGTTTGCGTTTAGGGAGTCGTTTCATTGGCTAAAAGGATTCTGCGGCGACTTCAGGGGCCCATCTCACGCGACGGTGAGGAAAGCCTGTGAAAGATTGACCTGCGTTGGGCTGTCCAAACCCATGGCTTCCATCGGATTGTATCGATTTCAGCGAACGCTTCGATGGTCCGACGTTCTCTGAAGCCCCTTGCTAGCTTTGGACGAACTTGCGGATGCAGGCCGCTTTCTAGGCGAGGTTGCCCAGGGAAGGCACCGTCGCGGCCGCACGCGTTGCACTAAGCAAGGGACTGCCGGGCGATCAATTCCGCCTGGCTTTGGGTTCGATGGCCACTGCCAAGAAATACTTCGATCAAGCTCGTGGACCGGCGGCAAGCCTGTACTTCGTGGTCCCGCTACTGCTGCTCTACATGTTCGGAGTCTTCGTTCTTTCGGATACCAGTTCAAACAACCTCACCGAGATCTGGCCGCACCTGGTCTCCACGAACCTTGGCGTAGGGACCTGGCTTATCCTGCCGGTGGTTACCGTCGCCGGGTTGCTGGTCTGGAGCCGCCGCTCAAAAGCCCGTTGGAACGTTCCGGCTTATGTCGTCGTGGGCATGTGGGCCGAATGCGTGGCGATGGCCGCCGTGTGGATTGCCATTGCCCACGGATCGTTCGTCGAAATTCCAGATGTCACTGGCGGGGCGACCGAAAGCGCAATCGCAAGTGCGGCGCCCAACACGTTGCGGCAATGGAAGATTGGCGTCGGCGTCGAAGAGCTACTCATCGTGGTGCAAGAAGCCATCAGCGACGATGTCCTCTTTCGTCTGCTGATGTTTCCTCTGTTCGCACTAACCCTCCGCTGGCTGGGCCAGTCGCGAACCGTCTCAGTCTTCGGTGCGGTCTTCGCTTCCACCGCAGTCGCTGTCGCGCTCAATCACTTTGGCTGGCACGTGGGCGCCAGCAGCTCGTTTGATTGGTTAGGCTGCGCGATTCACACGGCCCTGCTCGGGGTGCTGTTCGCCTACCGTGGGTTCGGCGTAACGGTTGGAACGCACGTCATCTACCTGATGTGGGCCGGCCTCGTGCTAAGTGTCTAGGGCCAAGAGCAACCGCCTGCACATCGTGCTAGTTGGTGCAATTGCGCGGGACAACGCGCACTTGGCTTGTCAAGCGAAAATGTCAATGCGGAATCCCGAAGTAACGCATATTCTGCGCCAATGCCAGGCACCGTGTCGCAGACTGTAACACGATGTGCGACTCAACTGCGTATCGTACCGTGCGACGCATTTACAAATGCATTCCGCACAAGCCATCGCAAACATGCTAGCTCGTTCGATGTGAGACGAACGGCTGCGCGATTGTCAAGACAGAAAATTTGCCACACGAATAGTTGCCAGAAGCGCCCTTTGAGCACGGCCCATGCGCGACCTATAATGACCCTCGCTTTTGTTGAGTTCTTATCCCTAATCAATTCGATTGCAACGCGATCATTCGAGCGAAGGAATACGTCTGGTGCTGTCCGTACGACCCAAAATCAAGGAGCTGGTATTTCAGCTCTACAGCCGACCGCTTCATCCCGAGTTGTTCGCAGTTCACGATTCGCGAACCGTTTCCCGCGGTGGTTACGAAGCCACGATTCAAATCACCAGTGCCGGCCACGTGGTGCAATGGCGCTATAAGGGATTGACGCTCACCGAGGTGGCCACCTCCGCCCATCATCCGTTGCCGCAGAAGCGTCGCTTAATGTCTTATCGCCTGAGTGGCGAACGTAAGGACGCGATTAAATGCGCCGGCGGTGCGTCATACCAGATGAACTTCCAGCTTGAACCCGCCGATCCTGAAGTGTTTTGGACCTTCCAGGAAGAACTGTGCAGTAACGAACAGAAAGGGATGTTGCACCGCTTCGATTCCAGCGGTCGCATGGCGTTGGGGGCGCTCAGCTACATCAACGTCGAAACACGTTCCCGCTGCCTCATCGTTCAGGCGTTTCACACCTTCCCCGACGACTACGCCATCGTGAAGAGCCAGTCGATGTTCGAAGTGCCGTAAGCCAGGAGCGGAACATCCTTACCCAAGCTTCTTCAAGAACGTCACGAGTGCCGCGTTCGTAGACTCAGGGTTTTCGAGAGTCGCCATGTGTCCGGCATTCTCGATAACTACGAATTCCGCCTGCGGCATCTCATCAGCGATGGCCTGCATTTCATCCACAGGCGATATCTCATCTTCACGACCCACCAGCACCAGCGTTGGTAGGTCGATCTGCTTGAGATAGCCGCGCGCGTCTTCACGTTCAGCCATGCCCCTTAGCGCCGCCGCGATACCCTCCGGCGAGGCACGCCCAATCATTTCCCGCACCGCTTCGATCATCTGCGGGTTCTGCTCTCGTGTCGCTTGCGAGAACAATTTCGGAATCATCGCCCGCACCAGTGGAATGCGTCCCTGCCGCAAGACTTTCTCCGCGGTATCGTGTCGCCCTTGGGCCGCCTCTTCGCTGTCCGGCGCAGCCCGGGTGTCGCACAGCACCAGCGCGCCCAACCGCGCCGCGTGATGCTTCCAAAACTGCCACGCAATGTAGCCGCCCATCGAAAGCCCACAGAACGTGATCGGATCGCTTACCCCCAACGCATCCAAGATCGCCGCCACATCATCGGCAAATCGCCGCATGGTGGTTGTGCCCGGGGTGGTATCGCTGGTGCCAAAGCCCCGCAAATCGGGAGCGATCACGCGATGGGTCGTGGCCAGCGCCTCCAACTGGGGAGCCCACATGGTGTGATCGAGCGGGAATCCATGCGCGAAGAGAATACATGGCCCCTGACCTTCATCGAAGACATTGAACCGCGATCCCGCGGCTTCAACCGTTTTTGTTTCCGGCATGAGATTTCCTCTTACGTTCGGTCCCGAGCAGTGTTGCTGCGGCCAGCGGCTTCACTCCCCAAGGTGTTGACGAAAGAACGCTTCAACCCGCCGCCACATCTCAGCGGTCAACTCGTGACCAGTCTCGGGTTCGATGAAGTGCGTAAAGTGGTTCCCGGCATTTTGCCGTTCATAGGCGGCAGCGATGGTCTTCACCGCGGCACGAACCTCTTCAATCGGGCTGCCCGTGTCGAGTTCTCCGAAATTCAGGTGCAGGGGTCGCGGTGCAATCAAGCTAACAATCTCTGGCGTGTCGCCGTCGGCCAAGATACCGGGGATGAAATTCGCAAAACAGTGCAGCAGCCGATGGCGTTCGATCCCTGCATAGGTTGGCAGGCAACAATTCCCCACCAACGCTTTGAATCGCGGTTCCCAAGGGCCCGCCATCCAGGTCAGCGTCGAGCCCATCGAATGCCCGAAACAACCAATGCGAGAGGCATCCACTTCTTGGCGACTTACCAGGTAATCGACCGCGCGGCGAATATCGAGAATGTTCTTCCAAGCCAGCGACTTGCCTTGCACCGCGTACTTCAGAAACAAGAACCGTTCGAAATCACCGCCGGGCAGTTCGCTTGATTGACGATCCTCAAAACCCAACACATCGATGCACAACACAACGTACCCGGCCCGGGCCAGAGCGACACCCACATGCTGGCGACGATCCCCGGCCAGCCCCGCCGGCTCCGACTTGCCGAGGCTCCATTCGTTGTTGTGCTGGTGCAACACACAAATGGCCGCCGCCTGCCGCTCCGCAGAAACCCCCGAGGGCAACAACAGCACCGCCGGCACCCGATCGCCCGGCTCAGCATCGAACGCCACGTGCTCCAGCGTGTAGCCGTCACACGCTTGTGTGTGGGATACGCTTGCGTTCAGCTCAGCAGGCTCCGGCCAGGGGCCTCCCAGAGCTGCGAGCAAACGCTCTCGAAACACCTCAGCAGGAAGACGTTCATCGGCCATGAGATACCGCGCATGGGGCCTCTAGCATTGCGAAAGATGAAGCCCGCGAGTTACTCGGGAGAGTCTGCCTGTGCTTCGTCCCGTTTCTTAAGAAAGAACGCCAACTGCCGGCTCATCTGGCCAGTTTGCGGTTCGAGCTGCACAGCCTTGGTTTGAACTTCCACGGCCTTTTCTAATTCGCCCTGGGCGTAATAGCATCGGGCCAAAGTGTCGAGCCGTCCGGGGTGATCCGGTTCCTCACCCAACTCTAGCGAACGCAACGACGCACGCAGAGCTTCGTCCTGATCGCCTTCGGTGTTGGCCACCAACCATGCCAACTGGTTATAAGGGGTGGCATTCTCTGGGTCTTGCTGAATCTGCCCTCGGAATAACTCGCAGGCCTCGCGAATATCGTTGACGAGATCTTCGCGTTGCTTCTCGTCGAGGTTCGGCAACTCGTACAAGGCAATCAATACATCGGCGTCGGTGTCGTCATACTGCAATGCCCGATAAAGATGCTCGCGTGCCTCGTCGTACTTGCCTTCCTGTTTTAGGTGCAGCCCAAAGAAAAGATTGCGACGCGCATCGCTGGGGCCACTGTTCAGCAGCCGTCTCTGTTCTTGGCCAGCTTTCTTTGCCAGCTCCTCGAGCAGTTCGTTCGTCAGATCCATCTTCTTCGACGCTTCCAACTCGTTGCCCGCATCATGGTCGAACTCGGCCAAGTATCGGTGGGAGATAAACGCATATCTCAAATAGGCGTCGTCGCGGGCCTCATGGTCGATGATGGTCTGATACTCACCCTTGGCCCAATCAATCCATCCTCGCTCGTGCAGCAAAGCTGCCACATCGTAGTGGGCTTTGTAGTTGCCAGGATTCATCTTGCGGGCCTTATCCACCAACGCTTCAGCACGTTCGGTCTGTCCCTGCTTCGATCTTGCATAGGCAAGCGTGTAGGCCAGCATCGGGTTATCCTCGATCACGGCCGAGAACCGCTCTTCGAGTTCGTCCAGTGCCGCCCAGGTTTCGCTATGAACCAGCCACATCGTCATCTCAGATAGCGACTCGACATCCGATCCGACAAATTCAAGAATGCGAAACATCGCCGTGTCAGCATCGGCAGGTCGATTGAGCGTGCGCAGCCAAGTGGCTTGTTGCAGTAGCATTCGAGACACAATCAGCGGGGCCGACTGCTGTGGGGTGCGAGCCAGTACCGCCGCCTCCTCATCGACCAGTTCGCTCCACTTCTTCGAGGGCATATCTTCCGACGTACGCAACGTCGCGTAAGTCCTCAGCCAGTTAGCCGCCGGCCGTGGGCTTGCAGCGATTGCCTTTAGGATCACTGCCTGCCGATCGGCCCATTTCTCTTCGCCGATAACCTCCAACGAACTTTGTGGCGGGGGCTCGACTTGCGACAGTGCCCATACGGCAGTCTCATCGGCCGGCTGTCCGGTCGGAAGGCTCTCCCACTGCTCGTGGCCCGAGTGTTGTTCGATCACCAGCAGGGCCGCCCACTTCGAAAGCAACTCGTTCCGCTGAAAACGTGCCAGCCGACATAGCGCCTCGAGCCCCTTGTCCTCGGGCAGGGCCGCGAGTTGACGCATTTGTTCGCGTCGGGCCGGAATGTCGAGCTGGTCGAACTCCGTGAGTAGCTCCTGCACCTCGGGCGGATCGTTGTCGTCGATCCAGTGCACCTCCAGCAGGCGCAATAGATAGCGAGCCCTGGCTGCGATCTCAATATCTTCGTGGTATTCGGCCACTGTCAGAGCATCGAACGCATCGAACCCCATCGCGGCCAAATCTTGCTGGGCTCGTTCGCGAACGAAGAAGCTATCGTGCCCGAGTTGCTCGATCAGCTTCGCCACCGGATCGGGCGTAGCCGGCGTTTCGCTCGATGACTCGGCCGCAGCCTCTGCCGGAGTCTCAGCCACGGCCAACGCCGGGGAAGCCAACATTGACAACGCGAGCAGAAGCAGAAGGTTGAGCGATCCTGTTCGCCACGACTCAAGGTGATTGACGAGTCGGTTCACGTCGATGACTCCAACAGACGGCGGTCGTTGTCACGCAGCTCGTGCATGCCGTGGCGACACGAACCGAGCGGCCAGATTGGCCCCCGAGGAGACTCAGCCCCTCAATCATGTAGCATAATCGAGCGCGTGAAATCAGGGCAAGCTGGGACCCGAGCGAAGCCGTTGCCCGCAGGCGGCAGCAACGCCAGGGCAGGGCGTCAATTCTGGGCCGTACTTGGTTGCGCCAGCAACTCGCCTATCGCCGCGTCGATCTCTTCCGGCGTGGGTGAAGGACTCGTGGGATCGCCAAAGACGAATTTCTTGGCCAGCTGCCCCTCAGCGTCGAAAAGCTGATAGTGCGGCACAGCGATTTCGATTCCGAAGGCATCCATCACGTCTTCATCGCCGGTAAGAATAAACGCCTCCAGATCGCCCCCCTGCGAACTCAGGAATTCGGCCACGGCTTCCTTGTTCTCTTCGTTGGGCTCATCAACGCTGGCAGCGACCACCACCAATCCATCGTCGCCGTATTTCTTTTGCAGCTCCACTGTATGCGGGAACATCTCCTTACAGTTGCCGCACCACGTGGCCCAGTAATCGACGAACACCACCTTGCCTTTGTTCTCGGCCAAGAATGCGTCGAACCCCGCCTTGTCGATCAACGCGACATCGGCCGCACTGACCGTAGCGGCAGCGGAAGTTTCCTCAGCGCTTTCCGCGGCTTCAGTCTCATTCTCAGGAGCTTCCGGTGAATTCGCCGATTCACATCCCACGGCCGTGATCAAGGTCAACGACATCAAGATGAGAACCACCGCAATCGGGCTTTCAACGAAACGCTTCATCACAGAGGGCTCCACAGAAGAATTGGATCGAGCGAATTGAATCGAGCAACAACGAAACAAAAAAACGCCCGTCGCCGGCCACCAGGAACCGACGACGAGCGAATTGCGTTAACTTCTAAAAGCTGGCATCACGATCATTCGTACTTGATGCCGCAACCCTGTTGCCGGGTCTCGGTCGTCTCCGGCTTCTTGCCTGAAAGAGCGGCGGTGATCGCGTCTTCCAGGTAGGTTTCTTGAACTTCGCCCGCACTCAAGGGGCTGTCGTCCATGGCACCCATGTAGACAACCTTGCGGTCTTGATCGAGCAGGAAGAAGTGAGGAGTGACGGCCGCACCGAAAGCCTTGGCCGACTTTTGGCTCTCATCATACAGATAGGGGAAGTTGAAGCCCTTCTGCTCGGCTCGCTCTTTCATCTTCTCGAGCTTGTCGCCTTCCACGTTGTTCACGTTAATCGCGACCAGTTGCACGCCCTGGTCTCCGTACTTCTTCTGCAGCTCGATCATGCGGTCTTCGCAGGCAACCGCCACCGGGCAGCTATTGCAAGTGAACACAGCCACCACGAGCTTGGCTTCGTCGAAGTCCGACAAGCTATGCTTTTCGCCATCGGTACCGATGATGTCGGTAAATGTGGGGGCGTTGTCACCAATGCTCAGAACTTTGTTGTATCGACCGGCTTGGCTAACCGACGTAACCAGCGCGACAACCGCCAACGCGGCAACCAACCGTAAACCTGTCTGCCTCAACATGCGACCTGTCTCCTTGTTGTGTGTGAGACTACTCGGGGAATGGACCATCAAACTGTTTCAATGTCCGTGCGTGATGCGTTGACTCACCTGTGGATTCACAACCCCGGGGCGACCAATACTCTCCCGGGAAGAATCAGCCTGGGCCTAACTGAGGTTAGTCTGCCCAGCTGCTAGAGTGATGTCAATAATCGCCAACAGCTGGCCATTTGGCACGAACTTACCGAAATTCGGGGGGATTGAATGCCTTCCTGCATCCAGTGGGGGAGTGCCTTGTGGAGGGCTACGCACCGGGACTGGATCCCGATGTACTCTGCAATGCTACGCAGACGGCCCCCATTTGGTTCGCGTTTTTTCAAAATTTTTCACAAGCAAGCAAGAACGCCATCGACAGCCTATTGGACACTACCCGCGATCTGCCACAGCAATTGTCTAGAGCCCGGGTCGGTGTTTACTGGCCAGCCGATTCAGCTTCTGCGATACTGGGCAACTCGACACCTTTGGGCCACAGGGCCGTGGCCCGGTGCAGCTAGCATTCATCATTTGTTCATGAAAGATTCATCGGGCGATGTGGGGGTTTATGCAATGGTCGGCATGAGTCCAAAAACGGTCTTACGACGAATTCTCAATCCAGTTCGTTCTATCCCTCGCCGGTACTTCACGTCCGGCCAGTCAGTAGCCACCTGCCTTGTTGGCCTGGCACTGTTAACCACACTTGGCTGCGGAGGTGGCGAAGCAGATCCACCGGCAAACCCACCGCTGAGTCTCCAACAGGTGAACCCACCCGAGGCCCAAGCCGCCGCTGCCGAGCCCGCCGCAGAACAGCCCGCACCCGAGCCCAAAGAAGAGCCCAAGCCCGAAGCGCCCCCCATGGAAGAGCCGGCCGAGACCGAAACGCCGGCTGAAGAACAACCACCCGAGAAGCGTGAACGCCCCGAAGACTTCGCCGAGTGGACACTTGAGGAGTTTCGCGACGCTCACGCCGAAGACGACCGACGTTTCAAGCAAGCGCTGCTGTACCTGGGTGAAAACGAAGTCGGCGATACCGAAACCGCGGCACTGTTAGGCGACTTGCTGGTCTACCACGAGCCCGAGATCGAACCGCCACCGGAAACCGACGACGAGCGCGAACTCAAGCGCTACGAGCAGAAGAAAGAGTCGCAGCTCAGGAAGGCACGTTCGAGCCAAACGAAACACGCGCAACAAATCATCGAAACCTTGGCCCTCATTGGGACCGACGAGTCATTCGATACCCTCGCCAAGATCCTCGCCGGCACCCTCGACACGGGCCTCGACCAGCGCAAAGCTCCCGATGCCGCGCTGAAGGCCCTGCTCACCATGGACGACGGTAAAGTGCAGGGCTTCGTCTACACGGCAATCACTTCGCCGGACCAGCTTCGTACCAACGATGACGGATCGTTTCCGCCCGAGGAACTTCAAAAACGGGTGCTCCGAGAGTTGCCTGCGGTCGCAACGCACGACTTACGAACGAAGCTGGGCAAGTACGCGGCCCAAGCCGGCCCGCAAGATGCGACATTCCAAGACCTCTGGCGAACACTCTCTGAGCCCAGGGCCGACAACTTAAGGGCCCAACTGTTGTTGTACTTGAGCCCCCAGCTTGAAGAGCGGGAGTCCGATCAACTTCGTCAGCAGTTTGTCGATCACTCGAGACATGCACTCGACGAACTGCTGGGCGTCCCCGAGGATGCCCAAACCTCGCGGTCGAGAAGTTCACGCTCCGGTGGATTTGGCGGCTTCGGTCGTTCTTCCCGCAGCCAAGACCACGAAGACGATGCCGATCTAACCTACGAGGTGGCTCGCGTTCTGTGGTCTCTACAGTTCTTAGGCGCAGTCTCCCAAGAGATGCAGGAATTCGTCGACTTGAACCAGAGCATGCCCACCGTCGAACTCATTGGGGCCATGCCGGTTGTTCCCATTCGTCAAGGAATTGAAGGCTATCTCGACGACCACTGGGATGAAGTAGCCGAACAGAGCGTGAGTAAGCTCCCCGAGAGACTAGCAGACGCCCTGCAAGACCCGGGGCTGCTGTTGGTGCTGAAGGACGTACCCCGCCGCCGCGATCCCCAAGTGCGTTCCGAGCGCCGCAATGGTCCCAGCAGCACAACTCGTCGCACTCGCCCCGCACCGCGAGTGAACGACCCGCGACAGATGCGTGACGAGTCGCAATACATCTGGATGGATACGACCGAGATGATGGTCAGAGCCCTCAACGCCCGCATGTTCGCCGCCGCCACGGCCGAGCAAACCACAACTGATGGCGAACCGACCGACGGCGATCAAGCCGAGGAGGTTGCCGCGGCAGAAGAGCCATCCCCTCCGGACGGACAACCGGCCGATGCGGCAAACGATACCGATGCTGAAGCCGAAACCGAAACTGAAGTAGCAGCCAACGGATTGCCCGCCGGGTTCGAGCTGCCATACGAACTGAACGAAGGCGCCAACGTCGTCGCGACGCACCATGTACGCTGGCCCGACGACGTGCAGGACCGCATCAAAGACCAAACGCTGGCCCCGCTGGAAGTTTACTATGTACGGGTGGAATGCGAGGATGTGCTGACGAAGGTGGCCAGCCATTACCAAAGCCAACTCGGACGCTCACAAACGCGTTTCTTAGAGAACGAAGGCCGCTGGCTCGACCTCACCGAAGAACTCGACACCGGTTGGAATCGCTCGGCCGACGTATTTATCCAACGTGCCGCGGAAGAAGACAACGCGGACGACGAAGAAGAAAGCCGCCGCCGCGTGGAGCCGGAGCCACTAATCATCGAAATCCTGGTCGTGGCCACTGAAGTGCCTCAGCCGGCGGAAGAAAGCGACACCGAAGAAGCCGAACCGGGTGACGCGGCCGGCAACTAGCCCGGGTTTGCCTGCGAACTTCTCCCCGCGTCGAACCAAATGAGACGATTAGGCCTTCGGCCCTTCCGAGTCTTCCATTCCTTCGATGTATCGTCGCAGTCGCTCCAACTCATCGGTCACATGGTGCAGACGCAGCATGTTCTCCACCCGTTTCACCAGCTCGACTTGATTGACCGGCTTGCTCAAGAAGTCATCGGTCCCTGCACCTACGGCTCGTTCGATGTCGCCCAACTCGTTCAAAGCGGTGACCATCAAGATCATGATCGAACTCGTCGTAGGGTCATCCTTCAGCTTCTTGCAGACCTCGAATCCGCTGAGCTTCGGCATCATGATGTCCAGCAGGATCAGATCCGGCTTGAATGCCTTAACCTTCTCCAAGGTGTCGAGCCCATCGACGGCGATTTCAATATCGGCATCGACGCCGGAAAGGTACGCTTCGAGCAACTCGACATTCGTCGCGTTATCGTCGGCGATCAGGATGCGACTCTTCGTTTCGGGCATCTTCTGCTCCAGCCGTGTCGTACGGCTGCAAAATGGTTGATGGACTGCCAGTTGGGGAAGTTACATGATTAAGTTTGAAGACCGCATCCGGGGCCCAGCCTAAACTTTCGCCGGGCCGCCAATAGCCACGTCGTCGCTCGCCAAACGCACGGCCGGCACGGGGAACTGACGACACAACTCTTGAATCTGTCCGCGTACCCGATCCGAGAGCGAACTGTCTTCGGGGGCCTTCAGCACGTCAAGAATCCACTGCCCGATGGTCTGCATCTCGGCGGTGCCCATTCCACGCGTGGTCAGCGCCGGGGTACCAATGCGAATTCCCGAGGGATCCATCGGCTTCCGCTTGTCGTAGGGAATCATATTCTTATTTACCGTAATTCCGCACTCGTCGAGCACTTCCTCGGCCTGCTTACCGCCAATGCCCAACGGGGTGACATCGACCAGCAGCAGGTGATTGTCGGTACCTCCGGAAGAGAGCTTCAGCCCGCCGCCCAACAGCACCTCACCCAGGGCCTTGGCATTGTCGATCACTTGCTGAGCATACTGCTTGAACTCGGCCCGCAACGCCTCGCCAAAACAAATCGCCTTGGCCGCCACGATGTGCATCAGCGGTCCACCCTGCAGCCCGGGGAACACACTACGGTCGATCTCCTTGGCGTACTGTTCCCGGCACATCACCAATCCCGCGCGAGGCCCACGCAATGTCTTATGCGTGGTGGTCGTCACAAAGTCGGCCACCGGCACAGGACTATTGTGCAGCCCAGCAGCCACCAGACCAGCATAATGGGCCATGTCGACCATCAGCTTCGCGCCCACTTCCTCGGCGATCTCCGCGAACTTCGCGTGCTCGATCTCGCGGGGATAGGCACTCGCCCCGGCGACGATCAGCTTGGGGCGATGCTCGCGGGCACTCTTGGCCAACGCGTCGAAGTCGATCCGCTGGGTGTCCTCAGACACGCCGTAGCTCTTGAACTGGTACAGCCGCCCCGAAATGTTGAGCTTCATCCCGTGCGTCAGGTGACCACCATGGGCCAAGTCCATTCCCAACACGGTATCGCCCGGCTCAAGTGCAGTAAGGTACACCGACATGTTGGCCTGGCTTCCCGAGTGCGGCTGAACATTCACATGCTCGCAGCCGAACAGTTCTTTCGCACGGTCGCGGGCCAGGTCCTCCACCACGTCGACAAACTGGCAGCCCCCGTAGTACCGGCGGCCAGGGTATCCCTCGGCATATTTATTGGTCAGCACGCTGCCGGCGGCCTGTTGAATGGCCGGGCTCACGTAATTCTCGCTGGCGATCATCTCCAGCCCGTCCTGCTGACGGTCGATTTCGGAGGAAATGGCGGACCAAACAGCCGGGTCCTCGGTTTCGATCCAATTCATCACCCACATCCTCCGCAAACACGTTTCTCGAAATCACCCCAGTTATCAATTGTAACTGCCCGACGGCCAGCTTCCGGCGAATTCAGCAACCGCTCGTTCACTGCAGGGGCAAAAAGAACCCCCGGGCCAGCCCGGCAGATTACTTATTCTCAGAGTAGGCCGCATCGGCGTCAACCGGGCGAATGAAGGCCGGGACCTATAACGATCCTAGCGCCAGGTGCCATACAGCCAACCGACCCTTGCCTTGGGCCTATTCCGCAAGTTGGCGGGCAGAAGAAACAGTGGCGTCACCAACGCCAGAAACCCCAGCCACCGGCTGCTCTGCCGGTCGCAAGATCAAATAGGGAGTGGCCCTGTGTGAGATAGTCTTGATCGTCGACTCGACGACGGCCTCTTCCGTGTACGTCTGGATGGCGTCCGCGTCGGTTAGAAGCTCGAACCCAGCCTGACGACACCACTTCAGCGTTCGCATACGGTTCACACGGCGAAGCGGCTTCAGCTTCCGATTACCCAGCCGCAAGAACGTCCCTCTTTTTTGTCGATCCCAGCGCGAGGTAAACGAGATCAACAACACGCCATCGCGATTCAAGCACCGCTGAGCCTCCGCCAGAACCCGTTCAGGCGATTCCACGCTGCCGAGAATGTCGGAGAGAATGATCGCTTGGAAGTTGTCCGCGGGGAAGGGCATCTCTTCGCCGCGGGCCGAAGCCCAGCGAACTTGTCCCCACTTCAACATGCCTTGGTCGGCCATCACGCCCGCCAGGGGATCGATGCCGTAGCGAATACCACAACTGAAGTGGTGAACCTCACCTTGGCCCCGCAGCCCAACCTGCAGCACCCGCGAGCGAGGTCCCAGCTCGATGAATTCGTTTAGCCAAGACTCCAACACCCGGCCCCGTTCGCGGATGGCGGTCGACCAGGCTTGTCCCGATTTCTTGGGCGTCGCCAGAATCGACTTAACCAGCCGGCTTTGTCGCTCGCGCCACGCTTCGTTCTCTTCGCTAGGGAGAAAGGTGGGAATACTGTCAACCACCGGGTAACCCCGACCACAGCGTCGACACGAAAGCCAAGAGCCCCAGCCCTCCAAGGGGCCGTGATCAAAAGGGCAGATTAAATCGTCCCACATCGCTGTAACTTCCTTGCTTCCGGCACTCGGGCTCCGCCTTAAGCCCGCCTGATTTGCCTCTTCTAAAACGCCCCTTCTCAGGGATCGCTGCGCGAAATATGACACAATCCATCGGTGGGGTAAATACGACGATGGCCCGCACCCACCGTGCTAGCACGATCTAAGGGCGTTTGATTTCCACTTCAAGCGTTCCCCGATTGTCAGACAACTCGCCCGCCGAATCGTTCACGCGGAAATACAAAGTCCCGGTCGCCTGCGGAGTGAACTCGCAGCCCAAGCCAACCTCCAGCGGATTGGTGAAGCTCGCCGCGTCGTCGTTTTCGCCCGCCTCACTTCGCACCGCGGCCAGCAACACTCCCAGCGGTTTGCCATGGTAATACCGAATCGAAACCCCATTCGGCTCGCATGGCCACGGCTGCGTCGTGCTCGCGATTTGATACCTCCCGCTGGCGCGCAACACGTACTTCTCTCCGGCTCTCACCTGCAAGCCAGAGTTCTGCCAGCCCTGATTAGCCGCCACCGTCACGCTCGCACTGCTTCGCGACCGATCGAGCGGTTCACCCGGCGTGGCGTCGATCGCGGTATGGGCGAAATCGTAGCCGTGTTCCAGATCGCGCGTGAACGCCTCCCACTCGGCATTCAGCAGGGCCCAATCGTCCTCCCCTAGCGTTGCCCTCAGTCGCTCGTTCAAATCCCGCTTCGAACGCGTATCGTGCAGACGACGAAACCTCCGCTGGTAACGCGGATGATTGTCGAGCAACGACGCCAGCGCCCAGCACCAGGCGTAAGGTTCGTTCCGCACATGCGTGTTCGGCCCGAAGTTCAATACATCGTCCAGGCTCAAAGCTCGATCGTCCTCAACCGCCTTCTGCACCAAACCAATGCGTCCCAGCATCGGCACCTCATCCACACTGGCCGGAAAGTATCCCAGCGTCAGTTCACCATCTTCCCAGCGATGGGTGCCCAACAGCTCGGCTAATCCTTCGCTGTACCAAGCAGGGTTATCCGCTCCCAGTTGCGTGTTCACAAATGCATGCGTCCCCTCGTGCAGCAAAAGATGACGACGGTAGTAGGGCGTCGGTTGATCGTCGAACCACAGCGATTTGCCCAGAGCGTAGCCGTGCCGAAACGGCGGAACCTCATCCGGCAGCAAGCCCACCTTCGCGAAGGTCTCCCGGTTCTTCATCAAGCAGCCGGTTGCCTGCCACGGTGGGTTCGCAGGGGGCTCGATATCGAAATACTCGCACCACTGCTCGTAGGCCTGATCGAACACCTCCGGCAAAATCTGAACCTCACGGTCGATCTCCACGTCGGTATATAGCACCAGGTGCCGGCTCTCGAGCCGCTTGATGCCCTCCTTGGCCACTTCGTTTTCGTCCACCGCGCGCATCGCGAGCACGGTGTTTGAACACACAACCGAAATCAGCAGTGCCGGCAGCACTGGTTTACAAAATGCCACGCGCGACGCCTCTCCTCGCACACTTAAGCCAGTGTTGTCAGGGTGAAAACATACGGCCAACCCACCCCTCACGACGCAACACACAACTATTCCTAGTGTAGACTAAGCCCCCGAACGCGGCGAAATACTGCAGCTCCTGTTGACGATAAAGAGCGATTCAATGGCGGATATTCAGAAAATCGAAGTTCTAACGTTCGATTGTTATGGAACCCTGATCGACTGGGAAAGCGGGATTCGGCAGACTCTGAGTGAGCTGACCGAAAAGCACAGGGTGTCCGAGCCCGTTGACTCACTGCTCGCCACCTGGGAAGCCGTGCAGTTCGACATGATTAGTGGTCCCTACCAGCCCTATCGTGATATCCTTCGCGATAGCTTGCAGGCGACGTTCCAAACAGTCGGCATATCGCTGAGCCCGCACGAAGCCAGCAAGCTGGCCGACGATTTGGGCACCTGGCAGCCTTTCGACGATACGGTCGAGTCGCTGAACCGCTTGGCTAAGCGGTTCAAACTGGCTATTTTGTCGAACATCGACGACGATTTGCTGGCCCAAAGCGTGAGTCGGATGGGCGTGCCCTTCGACGCACTGATTACGGCCCAACAGCTACGGTCGTACAAACCCAAGCTGGCTCATTTCGAGGAGGCCCTCCACCGCTTCGACTTGCCGGCCGAATGCTTCCTACACTGTGCATTCGGGTTCAAGTACGATCAGGTGCCGGCGTTGGCCAGTGGGATGTCGACGGTATGGGTTAAACGTCCCGGTTGGATTCGCGACGATGTGGCGGAACCAACCTACCAGACCAACTCGCTCGCCGAAGTAGTCGACCTGTTGATGGCCGACTCCTGAACCCTCGCCGAGTAAGTTCAAGACCAACCCGGCCGACCGAAACCAATGTCAACGACGCAAACGGAAAAGGTAAAGCGATTGATTGCCTCCGACGCACGACGAGCAACCCGATGGTATTGTGGCTCGCTGATCGCGTTGGCTTCGGCCGTATTCATTCTGCTTACCGAAGCCTCGCCCATTGGCTCAGCCGTATTCGCGGGAGCCATCCCCGGGGGGCCCGTCCTGCCGTGGCTCGCCGTCGTGCAGTTAGGCATCGCCGCGGTTGCCCAATCGCTTAAGGCCCGCGCGATTCGAAGAGATCCGCAGTTCACCGCCGCTGCCCCCGAACGGTTCAGCGTCGCAGCCTACGGTTTGATTGTCCTTTTCGGTGCATTGGGGCTGTTGCGTGGACCCCAATCAGGTCTGCTGATCGCCGGTTACGACGACCTGCTGGCCGCCGTGCTTACCTCGGCGGTGGTCTCGCTGGCATTGCACGTTCTCGACGTTCGAGACTCGCAGATGATCGAAACCACAACCGAACAGAAAACACCCACCACTGCTTCAAAAACGAGGCCCACCCGTTGGGTCGAAGGTATCGCCGCCGCGGCGCTTGCCTTGGGATGGGTCATCGCCGAGGTTGCCGGCTAAATACCCATTAGCCGCCCACGATGTACTGAAGGGCCGATGTCGAGCTAGAGTGCCCGACGATGTCGTCTGCGTCGGCGACCGCCGAACCCAGTCTTCGGCTTCTCTTGTTCTTCGGACTCAGCCTCTTCTTCGCCGTTATCTGCCGCTGGCAGAATGGGGCTGGGGTCGAATCCCTCGAGATGGGCCCGTTCCAAGAGACGGTTGATCCGAATCTCGATTCGCGTCAACTGGCTGCCTTCGTCCGGGGTGACGAACGTGTAGGCCACGCCTTCGCGACCCATGCGTCCGGTGCGGCCCACGCGATGCACGTAGTCGTCGCAGAACTCAGGCACATTGAAGTTGACGATGTGCGAAATCCCCGAGACATCGATTCCGCGGCCCACCACATCGGTCGCCACTAAGAAACGAACATTCCCATCGCGGAACTTCTTCATCGTGCGATCACGCGCGCCCTGAGTCAGGTCGCCGTGCATGCAGTCCACATCTTTGAACTTCTTCTTCAACTGATGATGGATCCGCTCGGTGCCGCGCTTGGTGCGGCAGAACACGATGGCCTGCGTGGGCGATTCGCGTTCCAGCAACTTCACCAGCAGCTCGAACTTCCGTTCGTTGTCCACGGTGAAATAGAACTGCTCGATCGTATCGACCCCGATATCTTTCGGCGAAAAGTCGAGCGACTCCGGCTTCCGCATGTACCGCTCGGCCAACTTCCGCACCGGCGGGGCCACCGTGGCACTCAGCAACAGAGTTTGCCGGTCCTTGGGGCATTGCTTCAGAATGCGTTCGATGTCGGGACGAAACCCGATGTCGAGCATGCGGTCGGCCTCGTCGAGCACGACCATAATCAAATCATCCAGCACCAGCGTTCCGCGACCAATATGGTCGAGCACACGCCCGGGGGTTCCCACCACGATTTCCGCGCCCCGGCGAAGCTTCTCGCTTTGCCCCCGGATTGGTTTCCCGCCATACAAGGCCACGCTACGAGCACGCTGACCCTGCGAGAGCTTCACCGTCTCGTCGCGTACCTGCACCGCTAACTCGCGTGTGGGTACCAAGACCAGCGCTTGAGGCTTCGCCTGACCGCGCCGCAGTTCAACGCGTTCCAGGATTGGAATCACGAACGAAGCCGTTTTACCGGTGCCGGTTTGCGCTTGGCCAATCACATCGACGCCGGTCAACGCGCGGGGAATGAACCCAGCTTGAATCGGTGTGGGCTGCAAATAGCCAGCCTTGGCTAACGACTTTAGCAAAGGCTCCGACAGAGACAGATCATCGAAGCCGATGGTGTCGGCTTCTGGCGGAGAAGCGGATTCGCGGTCTGGAGAATTCACGGACGGCTGAGGATGGATGAATGTTGAAATGCGAGCCACGACGGTCGCACTTCAGAACCTTGACGACCGCGTTGCGACCATGGCCGTGAACCGAATGCTGACACGTAGGCAAGATGTGTTAATAGGCGCAACTCTATCAGCGACGGTAGGTTTCGTCAACCAACCCCTCCCGCAGGCCACTTTGCGCAAAGAAAAAGACCGACCGCTGGGTCGGAACCCCGACCAGCGACCGGTCTTGTTGAACAATGTCCGCGTTCGCAGCAGCCTACTTCTTGGCCTTGCGCTTGGCGGTCTTCTTCTTGGTGGCAGCCTTCTTCTTCGGCGACTTCTTGGCAGCCTTCTTCTTGGTGGCGGCCTTCTTCTTCGGCGACTTCTTGGCGGCCTTCTTCGCTGCCTTCTTGGTGGCGGCCTTCTTCTTCGGCGACTTCTTAGCGGCCTTCTTCGCAGTGGCCTTCTTCTTGGCCGACTTCTTCGTTGTGCGCTTCTTCGTTGCCATTTCCGTGGCTCCTGAAACTGGGTACCTGTTTTCCTGGTGGATCGGTCCCGCTGGTACCCATCGCGGGCTGATGCCATCGTAAGTCGGTGCCGTACGAACTCAGTCGTACGACCCACGCTAAATCGCTTTGAACCGTCGGAGACTCTGTTGCTTAACAACGCCTGCTAACGAACAGAACCTACTCCAGGTAAACCACCCGGATGCCTCAGGCGCGCGCATTGAAGCATCTTCGTTCAACTTACGTCAAGGCGAATTATTGCCCGATCTTCCTGAGTAACAAATTTTCTCTCATCGCCGTTGTCGAACACAGCCGCGCAACCACCCTTCGACACCCTCTCTCACTAACTGGGGAGGCCACTGCATAACCTCCATCTACCATCGCTCGCGCGGTCATACGCCCCCGGGCGACGAGCACCCCAAACGAGGCTATAATCCTCAGGATGTCCTCCTCCGAAGATCAGTTCTTGACCAACTTGCTACATAAACAAGAACAGCCGACGGCCTCCCCAACGGACCTGGCCGAGACGGTTGCACGCTGGAAGTCTGCAACCGACGAAGAGGTTCGCACCCTCCTGTCGTCGGTTCTCGAAAGCCTGCAGACCGACGCCCAAAGCGACCGCTTGAACCTGCCGCTGCTCGAAGCGTTTCTCGAAGGGCTCGCACAGCGTTACGCCCCCAAAAGTCGAAGCGGCGGGCCCCCTCCGGCGCCGCTCGAAGCCCCAACCTTCGAATTGCTGGCCCAACTCTACGACGCCCTCGGTGCGCGGAACTCCGCCCGCTATCAGATCTTGCGCGTGCTAGCGTCGGCCGGAACGACGGCCTCGCTGGGGCTATTCGCTAACCGCCTCGTCGACGATCCTCCCACACAGCCCCGGCAGTTGGATGCCGCTTGCGTCCCCCTGTTTCAGGCTACGCAACTCGATGTCGACGCGCTCTTCCCTAAGCTGTTCGATGCCCTCGGGAACCCGGTCTTGGCGGCGATCGTTCTCGATCTATCTAATCATCTCTACCGTCGAGGGATGGTCGCTGAACATCCAGCGACCCCTCGCGTGCAAAGCCTGACCCAGTTGTTGAAGGCCATGGCCGAGCGTCTGCGGTTAGTCGAAGAGCAGCCCAGCAAGTATGCCGCTAACCAACAAGAGCTGCAGAACCTGATCGGCGAAAGTGCCACGCTGATCATCCCTCTCTGCGATGCCCTGGGAGCAATTGGCGACCCCGCGGCAGTGCCAGCACTTAACATCGTCCTCGAAGTAAGACACCGCCGCCTCAGGGCCGAGGCCGCCACGGCGCTGGCCCGACTGGGAGAAAAACGTGGAGTCGAAATGCTGGTCGAGTTGGCTGCCGATCCCGCTTCCCGCACTCGGGCGCTGGCCTACTTAGAGGAACTCGACGAAGTGGTCCAAGTTCCCAAAGAGCACCGCAGCCCGTCGGCCCTGGCCGAAGCAAAACTCGCCAGTTGGCTGGCCGAGCCACAACAGATCGGCCTCGCGCCCCAAAGCGTCGAGGTCGTCGATCGCCGCCGCCAGTTCTGGCCAGGGTTTGACGAACCGCAGGACTGTTTCCTGGTGCGTTACGAGTATCCCTTCCCCCAAGGTCCGCTGATCGGCATCGGTCTGGTCGGCCCCACCATCTACTGCCTTGCAGTCGACCTGCAGGACCTGGCCCCCTCCGACATCTACGCCATTTACGCCGGCTGGCACGCCGACCATCCAGAACTCTACGAAGAAGACGCCGACGATCTGGCCGACTCCGAACGAGACGTCTACGAAATGGCAGGCAAAGAACTCGACGCCGACAACGTCGAGTTAGCACTCGTCGGACGGTTTTTTGGCCGTAACATGCCCGTCTATCGGGCCCGCCGCTCGCAACAACCGGGTTTCCTGGTGGTCGATGGGGACGAGGCCTCCTGGTACGGGGCAGGCAATAACAGTCGACCCTTGGGGGCGCGAGAAGCCTACTGGATCCACAAAGGCCGCCGACTGTTGGCAACCTTCAACTCCGATTTCGGCGAAGAAGACGAATCGCCGACTGAGTGAATTTGTCGCGGCAAATCCAAGGGCCCGCCGCACGCTGCCCCCCAACATCTACCGAGGGGGTTCATTCCCCCGGTCTCCAGCAATCTTGGCCTGTCACGGCACATCTTTGCACGAGTCTAGGTCCTTGGAAGTGAACCGCGCGGGCTTTATGATTGTCAGCTTCTGCGACGGTGGATTTTCACGCAGTTCCGGGGTCCGATGGCTGCCGCCAGCCTCGGAGATCTGCTTCTCAGCTAAGATGAATTGAAGAGATCGGGGAGGTTTCTGTGGCGTCGTTTATTTCAGATCGGGTTGCCGCGTTGGAAGCTTCGGCCACCATGGCCATGGGGGCCAAGGCCAAAGAACTCAAGGCCGCCGGAAAGAAGGTCTACGATTTCGCCCTCGGCGAACCCGATTTCGACACGCCCGACCACATTCGCGAGGCCGGCATCGCCGCCATCAAAGCCGGCCACACCCATTACACGGCAGCCCCCGGTATCCCCGAGCTGAAGAAAGCCGTCGTCGATCAATGCCGCGAGCGTCACGGGCTGGAGTACGACCCCACCCAGGTCATCATTTCCAATGGTGCCAAGCACGCGCTGCACAACATCTTCACCGCCACGCTGAACCCCGGCGACGAAGTAATTATCCCCGCCCCCTACTGGGTCAGCTACGCCGAACTCGTCCGCATTGCCGGCGGTGTTCCGGTCATCGTGCAGACCGAACAAGAAACCGACTTCAAGCTGCTGCCTGCGCAACTCAAAGGGGCCATCACCCCCAAGACCAAGATCTTGCTCATCTGCTCGCCATCAAACCCCACCGGCAGCATGTACTCGGGCGACGAGTTAGGCGCCTTGGCCGACATCGTCATTGAGAACGACCTGCTGGCAATCGCCGACGAGATTTACGAACAGCTCGTCTACGGCGACCACAAGTTCACCTGCTTCGCCACCGTACGCCCCGGCCTGCAAGAGCGAACCGTCATCGTCAACGGTGTCAGCAAGACCTACGCCATGACCGGTTGGCGTATCGGTTGGACCATCAGCTCGCCCGAGTTGGCCAAAGCCATGTCGAAGCTGCAGAGCCAGGAAACCTCCAACGCTTCCAGCATCAGCCAGTACGCCGCGGTGGCCGCCCTCACCGGTTCGCAAGACTGTGTGGCCCACATGCGCGAGCAGTTCGCCAAGCGTCGCGAGTTCGTGCAAAAGCGCATCGCCGAAATCCCAGGGCTAAGCTGCCCCGAGATGGCCGGCGCGTTTTACGCCTTCATCAACATCAAAGAACACCTCGGCCGCTCGTACAACGGCAAGCAAGTCGACGACGACTCGACCTGGTGCCTGGAACTACTCGAGCAACAAAACGTGGCCACCGTGATGGGTTCCGCCTTCGGAGCCCCCGGCTACGCCCGCCTCTCCTTCGCCGCCGCCATGGACGACATCAAAGCCGGCTTCGAACGCATCGAGGCCTTCGTCAAGAGCGGCGCCTAAAACTACCCAATCACCGAACGGTGAAAATGAACGTGCTTCCACGCCCCGTCTTGCTTTTGCCACACGCGGGTTTCTTCGGCGGGGGTGGTCGTGTGATGGCCGGCTTCGTCCATCGATTGGGTTAACCGCACGTACGTCACCACGGCCACATCGCCCAGCAGGCGCACATGCGGTGAGGCAATCGTCGTGTTACGGGGCGGCCCTTCGCGGCGGTTGTCGAAGTAATGCCGGTGAAAGGCCATTCCTTCGATCAGGTGCCCAACCCCCTCCGGCTCGCGAGCCGTAAGCGTCTCGTCACACAGCCGGGCATACGTCTCCCAGTCACCCGCCTCGATGCTTTCCAACAGCAGCCGATTGAGTTCGAGAAGTTCCTTAACGGTCTGCTGTTCGTCGCTCATCGGTGAGTCATTCCGCGATGGTAATCTCAGCCCTTGGCCGACGACGCATCCGGCTGCTCAGCACTTTCAGGCGAAGCAACCGGCCCGAAGATGCCCAGTCGGGCGAGTTTGGCGCGGCATTCGTCGCGCTCCCGGCACCGCGTCAGCGATTCCCATGTCGGGTCTTGCACGGCCATGAAGTCTTCGTCGGTGGCCACCGCGCGGCCGGCTTCTTGAACTCGCGCCATCAGACGCACCAGCACTTCGCGATCGAGTCGGGTGAGGAACATCCCCTCCATGCGGTAATCGACAAACGCTTCCCACACCAGCGGGAACAGAGGTTTGACGATCTCCTCCCCAATCGCCGCCGCATACTGCCGAATCTCCCATTGGGCATGGCTGTCCATTCGCAGCGCAAGAAAATGCAGCAGGTTATGCAGATCGACTTTCCAGTAAGCCTCGGTATAAGTCGACAGCGGAAGATCCTTACGCGCCTGCTCGCGGGCAACCCCCATCTCGATACGTTGCTCATACACCCGACGCGTGTGGGCCTGTAACTCAGCCTCGGCCGCCGAAAGATCACGACCCTGTTCGACATCGAGTTGACCTTCGCTCCCCTGACGGTTCGAAGCCGCTTGCGTTCGCCAGGCATCGGCCGGTGTGGTTTGCGCGGCATCGATGGCCAGCGAGTACCGCGTGGAGTATTCGTTCACGTTGGCCGTACGATGGCGAATCCACTGCCGCCATGTGTCCATCGGCACGCGAACCAGCAGCTTCACTTCGGCCATTTCGAACGGCGTGGTATGACGGTGACGCAGCAGGTAGCGAATGAGCCCCCGGTCGTCGGACACCTTCTTGGTCCCTTCGCCGTAGCTGACCCGAGCCGCCTGCACGACCGACTGGTCGTCGCCCATTACATCGACCAGGCACACAAAGCCTTCGTCGAGTAGAGGGAACTTCTTCCAACGCAGCTCGTTAACCACCGACTCGTTTGTCGCCATGACGTTGCAAATCCATTCAATAAAAGTCGAACCAGACCTCGTGCCTGCCAAGGTCACCCATATCAATTCCGCTGTGAATCCACTTAGAAGCGGTAGTAAGCTCTCGCGTGGGTGCCACTGCTGGCTTGTCCAGCAGTGCGAACTCCCGGGCAAGCAACGCAACACAGCTAGCCGTAACACAGCCAGCCGTAACACATAGCACAGCGTTCAGCCTACTGTTGCGAGCAACGAGCCAACGCTTAGCCAACCGGCCAGCATTTTAACGTGCCCAAGGGGACCTGTCAGGGCAAAACAAAAACCCCGCAAAAACGCGTGGCTCACGTTAAATCGCGGTATTCTCGCCGCGAGAAAATCAACAGCGTGAGCAGCAAGCCGGCGAGGCTAATCACGGCCAGCATGATGCCGGCCCCCTGGGTCGTCATCGGCACGAACCACTGGGGGTTCGGGGGATTCAGCCCGTGGTCGGCCCCCATCTCGAAGATCATCGACTTGCCGAAGAAGCTCACCGTCACCCGCTTCACAATCCCCGGCATGCTGCCGATCAGAATCTCCATGAAAAGCGAATACACCAGGGCGATGATCGTCGAGTGCCGAAACGAAACGGCGAACAGATGGAACAGCGACACATAAGCCACCGTCATATAAAACACCGCCGGCAAATACAGCTCGAAGGCCGTCGCACCCACCGGCCCTGCCAGCCGGCAATACACCCAAAAGCTGCCCACGATCAGCCCTAGCACCAGAGGCAACGTGGCAATCAGCTTCGCCAGCACCACCAACCACCGCGGGATCGGCCTCACCAGCAGGAATAACAAGGTGCGATCTTCCCGATCACCCCCAACACTGGTCGTCGCGTAGGCCAGCGCACAGATCGGCATGATGAACGACACAAAGATCAGCAGCACCAGCTCTTCGCTGAAGTGTCCGAACGCGATCTGCTCGTTGCGGAATTCCGCACCCTCGTAGCCAAACGTGTAGCGACGTCGCACTAAGAACAGCGCACACCCGAGCAGGGGGAAGGAGACCATGAGCGTGGAGGCCGACCACAGCAGTCGCCGGAACGACAACATGACCAGCGTCGAGAATGCTCGCCACAGATTCATGACGTCCCCTGTTCCAGATAACCAAACACGGCATCGGCCCCTGTGTCGAGCGACACCATCTTGTGCACGACCAAACCTTCTTGCATCACCAACTCGCCAACTCGGGCGAAGAACTGCGCCGGCTGTTGCGTTCGCACAGTAAGCGTATCGCCCCGCACCTCGACCGAGTGCACCTCTTCGAACTCCAGCAACAAGGCCGCCATCCGCCGCGGAGGTTCCACCACAATCTGCACCGTGAACGGTTGGTCGTCGATCAGGTTCCGCACATCAGACAACGTGCCTGAGGCCACGATTCGCCCCCGGGCGATCATCAGAATTGAATCGGCCAGGCTTTCAACCTCGACCAGAATGTGGCTCGATACCAAAATCGTTTTGCCCTGTTCGGCCTGTTGGATGAGCAACTCGCCAATCTCGCGCCGCCCCCCAGGGTCGATCCCAGTCATCGGTTCGTCTAACAGCAGAATCGGCGGATTATTCACCAAAGCCTGGGCCAGCTTGATGCGTTGCCGCATACCATGACTGCACCCGGCAATGTGGCGGTCGGCCCGATCGCTCATGCCAACTTCTTCCAGCGCCCGTTCCGTCCGCTCGCGCGACTCTCGGGCAGAAAACCCATAGAGCCGGGTCATCGCATACACGAACTCCCGGCCGGTCATCTCTTCGTAGAAGCTGTTGATATCAGGGCTGAACCCGAAGCAACGTTTCGCGGCTCCCGACCAGGCATTGTGGCTATCGAGTGTCACTGTGCCCGAGGTGGGACGAAGCTGTCCGCTGGCCAGCTTCATCATCGTCGACTTCCCAGCCCCGTTGGCTCCCAGCAACCCGGTGATCCCCGGCCCCACCCGACAACTAATGTCGTTCACCCCAACAACGGGGCCATAGAGCTTCGTCACATGGTCGAACGACAGAAACATGAATGTCTGGCCTTAGGCTTAGCGAAGAACGTCTCAACTCGATCCGATGTTTATTCAACAATGTCCACCGCGCGTACACGATGCACCAACGCAGCCATCGCCAGCGTGCATACGGCCACCAAGACCAGCAATGCCCACCAGGCGAAGTCTTCCTGTTGCGCATTATCGAAGTCGCCGAAACACAATCGCCCCACGTAACGCATATCTCGCCAGGGATCGATTAGTCCCCAGTAATGACTACCATCGCCCGAGCGAAGAAACTGCGACATGCTGCCCAACAATACGAACACACTCGACCACGTGATGGCGATCGGTGCCACACGCTGCAAGTAAGCCGACAGCGTGACGATTAATGTGCTCAGCACGGCGCAAATCACCAGCCCGTACACAATCACCGAGACCGGAATCTCCCAGTTGTCCACCCAATAATCGACCGACGCGGTAAGGAATCCGTATTCGAAAAACAGCAGCAAGGCCGGCACAGTGGTCATCAGTGTGACGATGGCGCTCACGGCCAGCAGCTTGCCCACGATATAGTGTCGACGGTCGATCCGCCGCGATAGGTAGAACGGCAACGAGTTCATGCGGAAGTCGGTTCCCACCAGCAAGCTGCCGGCAAACGCCAGCAAGATCATCACGATCACGCTCTGCTGCCGCATAAAACGGATGTAACCGTTCCCGTCGCCGCTGGTGGTCGAGCCGAAGCCCATGAAGTCGAGGATGTCGCCTTGTATCCGCTTGGGGAAGTTCACCTGGTTCACGGCGTAAATCAGCGCCCAGTAAATCAGAAACTGCAGCAACCCCAGCGCGATCACAATCCAATACGACTTGCGGCGAAACACCTGTAGCATGCCCACTCGCACAATCGCCAGGCACGAAACCCAGGGCGAACGCAACTCGCCTTTCCAGCCGTGATACCGCGCGTTGTCAATTCCCATGCGACTGCTCCTCGGCCGTGGGCTCGGGCAACGGCGCTGCCGGCGTGGTGGCTTCGTCGGTCACCCGGAAGAACAGCTTCTCCAGGTTCTCTTCCTCGGGCGCGATTTGCGTCAGCACCACATGATGGGTGGCCGCCAGCTCGAAGAACCGTGTGGTCGACCACTCATTCGGCACATCCACCCGGGCGTGATTCGGCGTGTTCGTCAGGTTGATCTCCGCCCCACCGTGACGCAGGGCATCCAAGAACCCGCCGCTCTCACCCTGCCAGGCAATCTCAAAGCGGTTCCCTGTCTGCCGCTTCAGTTCGGCCATCGAGCCAGAACTGATCACCGTCCCGCGGTGCAGCACAACCACCTGCTGACAAAGCTGCTCCACGTCGCCCAACAGGTGCGTGCACAGAATCACGCTCTTATCGGTCTCGGCGATCAGGTCTTCAATCAACCGCAACATGCCCACCCGACCTGCCGGATCGAGACCGTTAGTCGGCTCATCCAGCAGCAACAATTGCGGGTCGTGCACCAGCGCGGCGGCCAGCTTCAGCCGTTGAATGTTTCCAGCCGAGTACTCCTCGAGCCGCCGGTAACGCAGTTCACCCAGCCCCACATAGTCGAGCACTTCGTGCGCCCGGCGACGCGCATCGCCGTGCGGCATGCCGTACAAGTCGCCCGAGAGCGTGACGAACTCCACACCCTTCAGCACCGGCACCGTCGCGGCCGACTCGGGCATGTAACCCACGCTGCCTCGCAGGGCATTGCTCGGGCTACGCACGTCGTAACCCAGAATGGTGCCTTCACCTTCGTCGGGCTCGAGCAGGCCCAAGAGAATCTTCAGCAGCGTCGACTTGCCGGCCCCGTTGTTGCCGACCAGGCCGATGGTTCCCGGCGCTAACGACAACGAGACGTCGCTAAGCGCCTGAACGTGGCCGTAACTCCGGCTGACATGTTGAATTTCAACCAGCCGCATAAGAGGGGCAGCCGTGCTGTTCCGAAAGAGGGTGGTTTCGTGGGGTTAAGCCCGATCGCAAGTGCCGCGGGACTGGCCCAGCCGCGATCGATCAAGCGACATTCTACCACATGTTCCGGAAACCGTCGCGGGACCGCAACCGGGGGAACCTCCAGCACCGCAGCCCCCAAAGCAACTACTTGGCCTTCGCCAGCAGTTCTTCGACCATCTTCGCCAGCAACGCCGGATCATCCTTTTTCTTCAAGTGCTCGATCCGCGAGGCCGGCACCTTCAGCTTCTCCAAGGCGGTGAACGCCCGATCCCAGATGCGTGCCTTCGCTTTCCCCTCAGAGAGGTACAGGTCGCTCACCAAATCGCTCAACCGCTGCAGTAAAATGCCGTCCTGGTTGTTGTAATAGTTTTTGATGATCCGTTCTTGATACTTGCTACGTTCGGGCATCGTGCGAATCCTCGTTGCTTTGCAGACGGCTTCAACACCATTAATTCGACTCCAACGAGGGTGCCACTGCTAGCTCGCCTAGCAGTGCCCGCCGCGGAATCTTCACGGCTGATCGAATCAGTCGTATTACCTAGGCGAGGTGTTGAAACCTCTTCAGATCTACATCCGTGTTTGTGACATCTCGGCACCTTTCAATTTGCCAACTCACCGAGGGCGCCACGTGCTGTTATCGGCCCTCACGAGCACCGGCAATAGTCTATCCCCCGGCGAACTACCCTGTCACGGGGCTGCCAGGCATTCCGGAACTCCCCCGGCTCGATTACGATTCGGCCCATGACCGATTCGGGACGGAGACAACTGCTAGCAGGCGCTCGCATCACAAGCCTCGGAACACTCGCCAGTCGAGTGCTGGGGATGCTCCGCGATGTGGCCACCGCCTCGCTGTTGGGCACCGGCACCGTGATGGACGCCTTCGTCATCGCGTTCCGCATCCCGAATATGTTCCGCCGCTTGTTCGGCGAAGGGGCCTTCGCCGCCGGTTACCTTCCGGTCATCACCACCCGCCTGGTCGATAATCGCCGCGAGGCATGGCAGTTCTTCACCGTCACGCTATATCTTTTGGCCGCATTCCTCGGCACGCTCGTCCTGCTGGCCGAAATTCTCTGTGCCGTCCTCTTCTGGTGGTATCGCGACGATCCAGCGGTCACCACGCTCGTCAGTCTCTCGGCCGTCCTGGTTCCTTACTTATTTTTCATCTGCATCGCCGCCCAACTCGCCGCCACGCTCCATGCCTTGGGCCAATTCACCTGGCCGGCCTTCGTCCCGGTGCTGCTGAACATCCTCTGGCTCATCGGCGTTGCGATTGCCTACGTCTTCATTCCCACGAACCAACTCACGCAAGCCTACATCCTCGCCGGCTGCGTCTTGCTCTCGGGCCCACTACAGGTCGCTCCACTCTTTGCAGCCGTGCGAAGTCTCGGCGGCCGGCTCGATTACAACTGGGCCAGCAGCAAGCCGTATGTCACCCGCATCCTCAAGACCAGCGGGCCCATGATGGTCGGGCTGGCCATCACGCAGATCAACACGCTGCTCGATAGCGTCATCGCCTGGTCGCTGGCCTACGATCCCGGCGTCACTCCTTCCCGTAGCGTCGCCTGGCTCGGCGGCGTGGTCGACTACCCGATGGAAGTCGGCGCGGCCTCCGCGATCTACTTTGGCGAACGGCTTTACCAGTTTCCACTCGGTATCCTGGGCATGGCCATCGCCACGGCCATCTTCCCGCTGCTCAGCCGTCACGCCGCCGCCGGCCAACTCCAACAGATGGGCGACGACCTCGGCTATGGAATCCGCCTGGCGTTGTTTCTAGGGCTGCCTTCCTCGCTGGGGCTCATGCTCATGGCCGAACCGATCGCCCGGGTGTTGTTCGAACACGGCGAGTTCGGCCCCGAGTCCACCGAACGCACCGCCCGCATGATTGCCTGCTACGGGGCAGGGGTTTGGGCCTACTGCGCTTCGGCCGTCCTCATCCGCGGCTACTACGCCCTGTCCGATTTCAAACGCCCCGTCATGGTCGGCGTGTGGATGGTCGTGGCAAACCTCATCCTGAACCTGTTGCTCATCTGGCCCCTCGGCGAAGCCGGCCTGGCCGTGAGCACCTCCATCACGGCCGCCGTCCAAGTCGGCCTCCTCGCCTGGCTCTTCGCCCGCCACCACGTGCCCCTGCATTGGAAAGCCATCGCCCGCACCACCTGGCGCACCGCCGCCGCCACCTTCTGCATGTCGCTAGCCACCTGGGCAACCCTCCACGCCCTCGGCCCCAGCCCCCACTTCCCCACCCAACTCCTAACCGTCCTCCTCCCCATCACCACCGGAGTCATCACCTTCGCCCTCGCCGCGTGGCTATTAGGCCTAGAAGAAATCACCCACCTGACACTAGCGCGGCATGAAGAGCGAACAGAACCCGAAACGTAGATCAGAACTCAACTAAGACCGGTGCTACTGCCACCGTTCAGTTCGAAACGTCCGAGGGAAGTAATTACGATCGATATCGATGCGGCAAGATAAGCCTTGATGGCCGTATCAGACGACCTCAGGAGATCAAAGTGCCGTGTACAGGCTTAATGGACTTGAAGAACTGGAATTACGAATTCTGGCCAGTCTGAACGAGGCCGGTGAGGAACATGTCTCAGCTTTGTTGAATTCGGTGCTGAAACGTGTAGGCAAAGACTCTCACCTTTTCAGATTTATTGCTGCTCTGCGCCGTCTTTACGACTTGGATTTCTTCGCATTCGCCGACAGGCGAGGCGAAGGTAACTTAGCCTGGGAACCCCTCTCAGATGAAGAGAGCCTTGAGAAACTAGCTCTGTTGGGCTCTCAGCTAATGTGGGACCAGAAGCTCGGTCTCTGGGTATGGAATGCCGAGGTGCCAATGCCGACCATATTGTTGACACAACGCGGTGCCACACTCAGCAATGACGTTCTAGAGAGGTTTGGATGGGATATGACCGAGCCAATGTGAACGTCCCCCAACGGGTGCCACTGGCCTCCAGCCAGTGCTTTCGTCGGGGCTTGTAGCAAATGCCTAATCCATCACCAAAGCCACCAGCATCGTCAACATTCGATCTACGGTTTTAGCCATAGTTCTTTTGACTCGATGATTCTGTGGGCAACAACGGTAGACAGGACAAGCGGAAGAAACGCGGCGATGATGATCGCGAAAGCCGTGACCGTGATCACTGACTTATAGAGGGTACTGGTATTGCTGAGGCAATCCTTGTTGATTGCCGCCCGCAGAACTAGTGCGGTCATTAGCGGTGTCCCCAGGCCATAAAACAGGATTAACTGCGGCCAAGTCATCGGGCGAATGCCTGTACCGTTGGGGACACTACGTAAGTACGATACGAAGTCCAGTGGTACATACGAGCCTAATGCCACAATGAGCACCGCGATGGCCAACAGCCAATGAGCCTTTAGGCCAGTTGAAGCAGGTGGAGTTGTCCGAGGGGCGATCTCATTCATGTAAGCCACCGTAGAACAATATGTGCGCTGGGCCACGACGCAGTGAGGAGAGAAGCCACAAACCGGACATTAGAAGCTATCATGCTCTGTTGAAAACAACCCACACGCCTGAGAAGCATCAGGTTATGGACCAGCACTCGCAGTAGCATTTCGCGGGCTTGGCTGGCATCGGTGCGGGCGCGAAGGGCGGCGCCGAGCAGGCGTTTGTAACGCGAAAAGACGCTTTCGACTTGCCAACGCTGGCCATAGTCGCGGCGATACGCCGTGCGTTTCATCTGACGTCGATACTTCGTGAGTGGCCAGCGGCGGCCCATGTTGCGACGATTGAGTGTAATGATCGATGACTTCATTCCCAACACATCACGGCAGAACTCGTGGTTGTGCTCGGCATCGTAGCCGGCATCGGCGAACACACGGTACCAACGCACGTGGCAACCCGCTTGATACATCGCCGGAAAGAAGTCGGGTGAGTCTTGGCTTGGTCCGCGTGCCACGCTCGCGCCGGCGATGAGGTGACTGGCCGTGTCGCAGACTACGGTCAACTTTGGCCAATCGCTGCGCAGGTATCGCTTCTGGCCCGCTCTCGACACGTAATGTCGTGATGCATGACGGCTTTCCAAACCAGTCGCATCGACGGCCGCGTCCGGCTTCTTACCAATCAAGCCGAGCCGTTCTGCGCGCTGAAGTACGACTGCAAGCAAGCTTGTGAACGCCCCTTTTTCAGCAGCCGAGCTTCGGCGTAACAAAGCGTCGAATAATGCGGTACCCGTTTGAGACCGATCGCCTCGCGCAACTCGCCTATATCTTCCAGCAACGCAACGATGCCACGATAGTCGGTCTTGAAGAACTGCCGCAGCACCAAGACGGCGAACAACTGCGGCTGCGTGAATTTCTTCGGACTTTTCGCCGCCGAGTAACTCGGCAAGCCCTCTTCGCCGATACGTAATGCCTCTCGCGCTAGCCGCACCGGCGACTTCGTCATCCTTCGTTGAGCCGTATCGGCCATCGCGTCCCCTCCTTGGGCGATTGAATCTTGATACCGTCAACAGAATCATAGAGAACCAAAGCTGTTTTCAACAGAGCAAAGCTATCACTCAACCCTGCAGTCTTGACCATGAGGCATAACGGTTGCGTTGTCCGGGGCCGCTGCCACGCAGTCAACCATTTCAAAAAACGCGAGTTCGGCGGCTCCGCGTCCAACGCATTGTTATTTGACGTCATCCGGGAACGGCCAAAACGCACCGACTGATTCAAGCACGTCCGTAACACGCTTTTGGAACGCGTGGAGTTCGCGATTTCGGCGAGGCCGCCAAGCACCAAGGTTCGGGATATAGATCCGGTACCCACCGAATTCGCCCTCGTCGATCCCATATGTAAGCGTGATCGTGTCGCGACCATTGGTGACGACTATGTTCTGAATCGTAGTCGGGTGGTCGGGCATCGACGCCCGAATGTGGTCCGGGATGTCATCGGGGATTTTGAGCACACGTTCAGTTACCGTGACATCGAAGCCGGCATTCCGAAGCGCAGATTCGATCGCGCCGAGTCGGTCGTCAGGGACGATTCGCATGTCAAGTCCCATGAATTGATGCTCGTGCTCGTGTGGTGATCGGGCAATATATCGTCAGTCGGATAACTCGTTCATAGACGGATGAGTGTATACACACGGAGGGCACTGGCCTCCAGCCAGTGCTTTTGTCTGGACTCGTAGCAAGAGCCCACACCATCCCCAAAGTCCCCATCATCGATCAACGAAAAACGATGCTCCCAACCACAAGGACAGCCCCCCAAATTCAGGCCCCAAATGAGCCTATGATTCAAGAGCTCCGCCTGGAAACATCAGAGGACCTGGAGCTTTGTTGCAGCAGAATCCGCACTGCCCACTGACTAGAGCCAGTGCCACCCGGCCGCATGTCGAACGCGGTCTTAAATAACCCGGCGTCCGCGTCGGCGGAACAACATCAGGGCCATCGCCCCGGTAC